ACTTGGATAGCTTTTAAAAAAGGATTAGAGAAATTCATGGGGGATAAGGCTATCAGGGGCTGCTAACTCTGATGGCTATATTTCACCTTCACTGTCAGAGGCAGAATGCTTCTGAATACCAGTTGCTGGAAACTATGGAAGGGGAAGAGTGCTGTTGTGCAAAAGTCCTGCTTGCAGGCTTTTCTTGGTGTCTGGTTGGTCACTATAAGAACAGGAAGCTGGACTTGGAGGCCTGCTGGCCTGATCCAGAAGGCTCTTCTTATGTTTGTATAAATTCTGAAATTAAAAAATGAGATTGATGCCCTCAGCAGAGGACGGTGTCTTGCCACAAGTGTCAACAGCCTGGTTGCCTTTTGTAAATGGAATGGTGGAGGTGCCATTTTGTCCTTTGCCTCAGGCAGCAAAATGTATTGGGTTGCCTCTGTATAAGGTAAAGGTAAAGGGACCCCTGACTATTAGGTCCAGTTGTGACCGACTCTGGGGTTGCAGCGCTCATCTCGCTTTACTGGCCGAGCGAGGGAGCCGGCATACAGCTTCCGGGTCATGAGGCCAGCATGACTAAGCTGCTTCTGGCGAACCAGAGCAGCACACAGAAACGCCGTTTACCTTCCCTCCGGAGTGGTACCTATTTATCTACTTGCACTTTGAGGTGCTTTCGAACTGCCAGGTTGGCAGGAGCAGGGACCGAGCAACGGGAGCTCACCCCATCGCGGGGATTCGAACCGCCGACCTTCTGATCGGCAAGTCCTAGGCTCTGTGGTTTAACCCACAGCGCCACCCGCGTCCCTGGCTCTGTATACTATGTTGCAATAGCCCAGAACTATGAAATGTTCACAGATGGCGCTGGTGTGACATGTGAAGCAAGATTCAAAAGATTATATTGTGTTAGACTGATATATGATCATTATCATAGCCACCACATTCGTGGCAGTTGTGACAGCCTGGCATATATAGATAGCAGAAAGGGGGAAATCTCAAGCCTGGATCTCCCCCCTCTGAAAATCCAGGATTTTTGCCAGAGTTATTAGGAGCATAGTGGGCCCCCTTCTGCCCTAGTAGTTCAGCAACTTCTCTGTGTGGCTTGTAAGAGGCCAGCCGCGGGGCAGCTAATTTCCGCTGTTTTCTAACCCTCCTTCTCCTCCTCTTCCAGCTGTGACTTTGTTGCTGGGCTCCTGTCTGGCAAGAATTTGGCTCTTCACCTTTTATCCTCCAGAGTGTTTCTTTAAGAAGGACGAAATATGTGGTGCTTTAATCACTCCCCTCCCTCCTCATGCTTCTCTGGAGTAACAGCCTGGTTTCTTCTCAGGAGATATAATGCTTTGGCCAGAAACGAAAAAATTCCAGCCAGTAGCACAACAGTAGCTCCTGCTTCCCTGTTCCAGTCCTGTCCTCACCCTTTCCCTAGTCAAACCCTCTGGTGCTTATGGTCAGATAGTAACCAGAAAGTCCCTCCCCAAGGGGCTTGAGAACAAGCAGAGGAAAGAAAAGAATGCAATGTCACAAAAGGAAATGAAGCAGGCATTCCTTGCCTCAAAATCTGTGTTCAAGTAAACCTCACCTAGTTGGACACCAGCTAGACAAAAGCACAATACCCAGGAATAAAGAGGTGTGGGTGTAAAACAGGGCCCACACCTCTTAGTTATGTACGTGGAATATACGTGGCTATTCTTATTTTGGCCAGGAAAACATCATTAGGCCATTAGGTTGGTTTGTACATAACCTAGGGTGATTTGTAGGGCTGAGGGCCCATGTTCCTTCCTCTTTCCCCTTATGAGGGGTGCCATGTCCTAGGGGCCAAACTCTTTTGCCCCCCCTATATTTTTGTGGGGCAGGGTGGGTCCCCCAATGGCAGTGGCAGCAGCAGCAGCAAGGGGAGCTGTCAGCCATTGAAGGCATGCTGGCGCTGCGTTTGGCTCTGCCCCTGACACCTCCTGACATTGTATGTGGAGCCACACATGCAAATTTTACCTTTGTGCAGTAAGATATTATACACACACACACACACACACACACACACACACCTCTTTATCCTCCATCCATGCAAGTGAAAGGCATCATCAGAGATTGGGGACACATTCCAAGGGCACATTCCAACCAGGCAAAAACACTCAAGGAGGGTGCAAAGAAGAGATGGAGAGGATTGTTACCTGAGAGAGAGTGTATGAGGTGAAGGGAATCCCATGAGTCAAATCAAGAGGACTGGGGGGTTGCATCTGGCCCCCAGGCCTGAGATTCTTCACCCCTGCTGTGCATGTTTACTCAGAAGGTAGGCCCACTGTGTGCAGTTGGGCTTACTCCCAGGTAAGTGGGCATAGAATCATAGAACTGCAGAGTTGGAATGGACCATGAGGGCCATCTAGTTCAACCCCCTGCAATGCATGAATCTTTTTGCCCAACATAGGGTTTGAACCCACAACCCTGAGATTAAGAGTCTCATGCTCTACCAACTGAGCTATTCCAGCCCTCAGCATCTTGTGTGCTGTTAAATAACAGTAAAAAACACAATGGCAAAAAGTTGGTGCCAAGTGGAGCTCTCCCTTTCTCATACCTGCATTGGTGGGGGACAATGTTTGATCAGATTGCAGCCAGGGAGGGAAGGGATAACCCCCATTCCTTGTGCCCCTCCACATCTATAACAGAATAAAGAAAAACTAGATGTAGCTGTAAACTACACATTTAATGCAATGTGAACCTTGGCTCTCACCACTCCACCTCATGATAGGGCCAGTGCTATTCCAGCTGATACCTTTCCTTGCAATTGCTTTCTCACATTGTGTCCCTAAACCAGTTATAGGGAAAGCTGCCTTCTGAACAAACCCTAAAATACATGTACGGCATAAAATGGAGTCTGGGTAACTGACACCTCTAGCAAAAAGTTTTCTAGTATAAGCTGGTACGCTGCTGAGTGCACAGTATATGAAACAATTGTACAGTGAATAGGATTACTGGCTTATTTCACAGAGGCCTAATCTGGAATAACTTTCCGCTTGTAACATCTCCATCTGAAAGAGTCAATGAACTCCCTGCCAGGTAGTGTATTTCCCCATTCTCCAACACATTATTGCGGTGTGTGTACTGCTGTTTGCTAAGTGGATTAGGAGTCAGGACATAGTATTTACTTTTATCTGAGTTGCATCAAAAATAGCTTGCCCCCTACCTGAAAGGAATGTCCCAATTAAATTACAAATGGCATATCCTAAGTGTAAGGACTGAAGTTTGATTGATTGGTTGGAACAAACAAAGCATTCAACCCTCACTATTCCCTCTTCAAAACTGGTACATAGGGGACACCTAGTGGAAAAGACATGTTGGTTGAGTACATTAAAAAACGAGCAAACCCCGGTTTTAGCATGTCACTAATTTCTTGTTGCATTTGTAATATCACTAAAGTGGCATCTAATTTTTGTTCCTTCTGTAAGAAGTAACCAAGGCTTACTGGTTGCAAAAAGCCCATTTGAATGCCTGAAGATTTGTGTCAAAACCGCCCCCCCCCCTTACTCAGTGTTTAGAACCTCAATTACAAATAATGCACCCTTGTTTTTTCTCTCCAAGCATCCAAGCATCTTGGCATCTATGCCACAAGAAAACAACCACAGAAGGAGAATTGTCAAGAGGAAGCTTTTTGAAGTGTACTGATTTGAACTCCTAAAACAAGAGATAGTGTCTAGGGACTTATTCCCATCTCCATGTGCAGGGATTACAGCGTTCAGCTCTTTTTAATAATAATTGGCTTCATGTGAGTCAGCTATACCTCTGCAGCAAGTTGGAACCCAAATGGTCCTTTAACTGCCCATTTTATATCTAGAGCAGAAGAAACAGCTCACAGTGTACAACAGTAATGAATGTCCTTCTGATTTATTGTGGTGTTTTCCATCCAAGAAACGCAACACATGTAAAGGGTATGTGTTTGTAATGTGTACAATGCCCTGTGAGAATCAAACAAATGCAGCAACATCTTTTGCTTTAAAATGGTTTATTTCTATACAACTCCTTAGATTTGAGGACATTTTCACTGGTGACCCTTCTGTAAAAGTAGAAAGAAGTAGCACTGAATTTAGTGGAACTTAACTGGCTCAGGCCATCGCAAAACAGCTCTGCTCTTATGCATCTTTACTTAAAAGTAAGTCCCACTGAGATCAGAACCACGTACACCCAAATCAATGTGTGCCTAGGAGGATTCCTTTGTTAGTGCAGACTGCAGCTCTTGTGATGGTTCAAGCAATACCAAAGAAAGTGAGCCTGATAGATACGGTCCAGCATTTGATGGGAGGAAAACAGAAACTTTTCTTTAAGGTGAATGGTAACAAGCAAGCTGCATCTACAAGAGCTAGTAATATGCTATTCTAGGGAATTCTTAAAAAATAACATTTCTGCAAAGCCGAAGAGCTCACTTTCACATTTAGATGTTGTTTATGCAACATCTAAATTTTAAAACCTTCGTAATTTCAAAATACAGCACACGTACTTGCAGTGCTCTGACGTCTAGTTCCCAAGTAATATTAGTATCTGTGGCTGGAACACTTTGAAGTTTGCAAAGAGCTTTGCAATTTGGGTCAGAATTTTTATTATTTTTTTACATTCAACCAAAGCCATTTGAGAACTAGGCAGAATATAGACAAATCTGTATATAAGGCAGGCATATGAGAAAAGGGTATCCAGTTACCCAGTTAAGGCTATTCTTAACCTAATGCAGTCGGCTGAATAATTAAACGAATATGACCAGGTAACTAAACCAAGCTTGCTTTTCTCTGTGGTGTGAAGCGACTTAGGTACAACTAGCTCCACCTGTTTGGATCCCAAACAGATTGCCACTGACTGCCGTCTCTGGGCGGCATTAGCTGCCTCTTTTAACATGGAGGCGGCCTGACAGGGACCTCGGTTCTCAGCATTCCAAGCCCAGCCCCCTTCCGCGCACGCGCACTACCGCACCAAGCTCTCAGAACTCATTTCATCTCTCAAAAGTTCCGCGCGTTCCCCCCCACCCCACCCGCACGCGCTCGCGGGGCGGGGCTCCGTTCCGTTCCTGTCAGGTGGCAGCCTATCGCCCGCCACTCTCAAGATGGCGGCCGTCCCATGCCGGGAGAGGGCGGGGAATGAGGCGGAAGTGAAAGCGGGTAGTGTTGACAGAGAGCTATAGCTATTGAAGCGGCCTTTGCCTGCGGAGTTGCTGAGGGGGGAGAAACGCCTTGGTGTCAGGATGATTCCGACGGAGGAGGCGTCCGCCCGGAGGAGGGAAATAGAAGAGAAGCTGAAGCAGGTGGGCGGCACCTCACTGTGCATCCCCCCCAGCATCGTCCTCTCAGCCTCGCCCTCGTTGGGCTGAGGCGTCGGGCCCTGCTCTGCCCCCCTCCCCCGTTTAAAGTCTCCCCCCTCCAGTCTTCGGTTCCCCCTGCGTGGTTCACTGCCTCCCTCAGAGACCACAGGCCCAAACCCCTGCCCTTAACCTGGGACTCAGTTCCACTGAGGTCAGGGAGGCTTCCTTCCAAGTAAATACAGGACTGGGTTGTGAGTGATTCCCTAAAACCAAGTGGGGGGTAGGGAGGTGGGAGGGAAAGCCCACTACATGGTAAGATTGCCACTTGTTTACTGTACTTCCCCTGTAAACTGCCTGTGTGACACCCTGAAATACAACTATTTTCTTGGTTCTCTAAATGAAGGGAAAATCTTCCCCTGTTAATTGTTTTCTGTGCTTAGCGGCACAAATAAGCCTGGCTGTTTTGTTTCTTTGTGTCCTTTACACGTTGTCCCAATAACTGGGTGGCTTCCAATAATAAAAAAAAAGGCAAGACAGGATCACAACACTAAGGAACTGATGCAGCAGAAAACCAGACAAAAACGAGTGCAACCGAGTTTGCAGCAGCACCAAATTATTGCAGACATTTAAAGTCCAAGAATGCTACAAAGATGTAAAAATCAGAAAACTAAGGCTAAGAAGGTTGACAAGCCTGCATTTTCGTGTTGCACGAACGTGCTCCAAAATGTTTAGAGGTAGTCCCAAGATCCAGGAGTACAGCCTTCCCCAGCACCCTTGACAAGAGAGTGTTTCTCTAAAGCTCTGTGGTTCAGAGAACGTTGTGCCAAATTGGAAATACTTTAAAATATCATGAAAAGGTATATTGGTTAAAGCTGCTTTTTAAAATTTTGTTTAAATTCATACCCAAATCTTGAAAAAATTACATTAAAACATATAAAAGCAACACCCTGTTACCATTTTCCAAGTCTGCTAAGCATCTAGAAAAGTAGTTCAAGAGCCAGAGTAATGGGTTGTGTCTTTCCTCCTCTCTTGCAATGACAGGAAGAAGAAACATTATCTTTCATTAGAGATAGTTTAGAAAAAAGTGACCAGCTCACAAAAAACATGGTAAGTTTGCATAACATGCATTTTATTTTAAAGTGGAGCATAAATATATTATAGGGCAATCCTATGTGTGTATGTACTGGGAAGTAAGTCCTACTGAATTCAATGGATCTTATTCCCGAGTAAATGTGCCTTACATTGCAGTCCTAATACATGTTAACTGAGAAATAAGCTGCATTGAGTTAAATGGAACTTAACTCCCAGGTAAGTGTGCATAAAGATTGCAGTGTAAATCTCAGTTTATGTTGTGTTTCACTTGATGGAACTGCAAACTAAAATACAGCAATGCAGGTGGTTATTGTTGAAGGAAATGGACCCCACTGTGTACATGAAATATCTCTGGTTTTGTTTTTTAGGTTTCCATTCTCTCATCTTTTGAAAGCCGTCTGATGAAGCTGGAGAATTCAATAATCCCTGTACATAAGCAGACTGAGAATCTTCAGCGCCTGCAGGAGAACGTTGAGAAGACATTGTTCTGTTTGGATCACGTTATAAGTTATTACCATGTAGCAAAAGACACAGAGAAAATTATAAGGGAAGGGTGAGTTGAGTTTCAGGCCCCTCAATATCTTTGTGAGGTCTGTTCTTTTTTTCAGTGTCAGTCTCTTCACCTGTCTTTTACCACCTTGAATAATCTAATTAATTTTAAGAATGGTGGTTGAATTACAGAAGGTAACTGGAGATAGGCATTTTAAGTTATAAGAAACATGGGATCCCCTTTTATTAGGAAAATAAACCTGACAGTGGTTATGAGCGGGCTTTCCCCAGTTGTCCCATTGGTTTTAGAATAATATCTCTGAGGAGGTACATCAGAGCACACCCCTTTCAGGTTTCAGGGGATGAAAATTCAAGGCACAACTGTTAAATATCACCTTTCTGGTCCAATATAAATTGTGATCATTTTTAAAGCACTCTGCTGTTTTATGCATGCATTTTTTATTGTAGATTTCATCACAGAACCATAGAGTTGGAAGGGACCCTAAGGGGCATCTAGCCCAAACCCTTGCATTGCAGGAATCTCAGCTAAAGCATCCGTGGCAGATAACCATCCAACCTCTGCTTAAAAATCTCCAGTGAGGGAGAGTCCACCACCTTCCAAGGGTGTCCGTTCCACTGTAGAGCATTAAACATCAGATGAATTGTTTTATATTATTTAGTGTTGGTTTAAAGCACACAGAGCAGAGCATAAAGAGGGCTAAACTATATAAATAAGGTCATTTTGTTGGAGCATAGTGAAGTGACAGCCTGTTTTTTCCCCCATTGAGGACTTCAGATAGAGGCAGTTATTTACCCTTTGCCTAAAATTATCCCTACCACTTGTCTAGGCCAATGTCTCAAAGAAAACTGTTCTACTGAAGCTGGTGACCTGGCACTTAATGACAAATCGTAGGTCAAAAGGTTGTTTATTTGGGCTGTAATGTATGCCAGCTATCCTTGTAACTTACATACTTTAATTCCATCAGTGATGGCAGACTTTCCTGTTGGGAAGAAAAATTACAGGATATTATTATTATTATTATTATTATCTGGGAGAAAATGGTAAGCCAGCTTCATAGGGATTTTATGGTAAGCAGTTGCCTCTTCATGTAGCTTTGTTGTTGAACCAGATGTATTTTTAATTGCAGCCCTACAGGAAGATTGGAGGAGTATTTGGCCTGCATGGCTAAAATTCAGAAGGCTGTGGAGTATTTCCAAGACAACAATCCTGACAGCCCAGAGCTTAATAGAGTGGTATGTAAAGCAGTTGCACACGGGACTACTGACTACAGATTCATCTCTCTTCAGAGCTTTCCTTGCTTTTTCCATTTAGGCTTTGCTCCATTTGGAAGCAAATATCAACACATCATAATCTCTCTGAAGATAGTTATCCAGAATGACATATGAGCACACCTACATTTTGTTTTTGAGCTTTTCTTAGAGAAGCAGCCTCTGCAGAAGCCCCAAATTGTCTGTGTTTAAACCCTGTGTTTAAAAAAGAAACATGCACAAAAATGTTTTGATACAGGAACTTATAAAGTAGAAAATGGTGCTCACTTGGTTTTTCCCTTCTGCTTTACAGAGCGATTTATGCCAAATATTAAAAATGGATTTTGAGCAGATGATTTTAAAGTGGGGGGAAATACTGTATAGTACTGCTGGGAATCAGAAGTGGGGAATTCAGGCATTGTGGCCATTGTGAGAACAGGATACTGGGCTAAGATGGGCCATTGGCCATTGGCCTGATCCAGCAAACTTTTTTTTGAAAAAGTTCTTATGCCAAATCTCTAGCTTAGGAGGTGAAAGAGCTATCTGGTAGTCCTGCAGGTGTGTCTTCTGAAAGGAAAACAGACATATTTGGGTGCAAATGCACTGTGCAGAAGCCGAACAGTGCTGTTTTACCACCTTAAAACCAATAGTTCTTACAGCTAATCTTTTTCATATATGTTATTCCAACCAGAAATTGTTGTTCGAGAAGGGGAAGGAGTCTCTGGAGTCTGAATTTCGTAGCCTTATGGCACGACACTCTAAACCAGTTCCACCAATCCTTATCCTGGATCTCATCACTTTGGATGATGAAATGGAATTGCAGGAAGATGTGACATTAGAACACCTCCCTGAGAGTGTTCTGCAGGACATTGTCCGTATTTCTGGTTGGCTGGTGGAGTATGGGAGGAACCAAGGTAAGTCGTGAAGTGATTAGTTGTCTTCCTTTTTCTTTCTTTCTTTTAAGCTTCAGGCAGTCAGCTAAGACCTCCTTATTTTGCTAAGCTTTCAGTGTGGGTTAAAGTTTGGTCTTGCTGTTTTTATGCTGAGTTAATTTTCTTCTCTTCTTGAGTTTATTGTATGAAATTGATCTGAATAGTTTGGACAACCTTACTGCATTTTGTGCATTTTAAGACATCAGCAGTGGTTGAGGTTACATTCTTCTATAATACTTGAATTAGTTGTTGTCACCTCTTTTATGATACATGAACATATTCTGATATTTGTTTCCCCAACTGATCCTGTTAGCTTTGCATATTCCATGTAACTCCCAGGATTCTGTGGGGGAAACCATGACTGTCAGAGTGGTATAAATGTTCTTCAAATGTATGGTGTGGTTTGTTTGAGCCCCAGTTCAGGCATAATGCAAAGCCCAAGGATCATGGCTCCTGCTCATGAGCGAAGTGGAAGTAAACCATGAACCTTGGCTTACCAGGACATGCAAATCAATACCACTGTGTGGCACAAATCTTCAAAGCCCTTATTTTAAAGTGACTAAATTTGCATGTATTATAAAACTTGTCAACCTAATACTAAGATCAATTATGGCTTATGCAGCAAAGGTGCATTTAAAAAAACACCAGTTTGTGTGTAGTAGGCAAAGATGCACAGCTGGACACCCCTGCCCTGGGTCTCATCTGTTGTTTTTCATCTGTAGTTATAATTCTACTGTGTGCACTTGTGCACTGAGCCTGGAATAGGCTCATTGATTTTTTTTTCACTTCACTAGTCCACAACCTTCAAAATCCCCTGGGTGTCTGTTTTTTGTCCACCTTCTGAGCAGAGGATGGTTATTTTTGTGATGATATTGCCAGTAGATGCAGGCTAATATGGAATAGAAAATGAAAACATATCCTCTGCCCTGCATAAAACTCCAGGTGGAATATTTTGTGTGCCAGCTTTTAAAAACAATGCTAAGCATTAAAAAGTGTTCTGGAATTCATTATGCTTCATCTATTCTACACAATCTTGTTGTAATCCTTATAATGACCCCATTTGATATATTATTATTATTATTATTATCATCATCATCATCACTATATTGAGAATGAAAGAAAGGGTAGTACAGTGGTGCCCCGCAAGACGAATGCCTCGCAAGACGGAAAACTCGCTAGACGAAAGAGTTTTCCGTTTTGGAGGTGCCTCGCAAAACGAATCTGCTATGGGCTTGCTTCGCAAGACGAAAATGTCTTGCGAGTTCCTGGTTTTTTTTTCCCTTTTCCCCCTCTTTTTCTAAGTCGCTAAGCCGCTTATCTGCTTATCCGATAAGCTGATAAGCTGCTAAAAGCCGCTAAAAGCCGCTAATAGCGCTAATAGCGCTAATCCGCTAATCCCATCAATGGGCTTGCTTCGCAAGACGAAAAAACCGCTAGACGAAGAGACTCCCAGAACGGATTCTTTTCGTCTTGCGAGGCACCACTGTAGTCTATTGCCTACACAAATTCAGGAAGGTCAGTTTACTTCTAAGGTGTTCCTGCTTCTATAAAAATTAACTGTCAGCTACTATTCTGAAATTCCTACTGTGAAACTCTAATTGCTCTTTGTGATTATTACAGTAATGTATTATTATAGTACTATGCGTATAGGATGTATACACTGACTATTAGTTACTACAACCCTAATCTATGAAGCTCTCTTGTAGCCTGAACTAAGCCCTGTGGGCATCAGTTGTATGACATGGTTTTTCTTGTGGTGCAGGATTTAACTGGCTGTTTGAGGAGGAGCATCTGTCTGCAGGAGCCCAGAGAGGAAGCCTAAAGAGGGAGCACAGAACGGGGTCTTACACCAGCATAGCCTCTAGGGAGAGCACTGTAGGGCGAGAATTAGAACACAACCGTAGTAAGTGTAGGAAGCTTAGATTTAGAAAGCATCTGGGAGTGATGTAGAATACAAAACTACTTTCATGTGCACTGAAAAGAATTCTATAGCTTTTTTTACAAAGTAACTATGGTCTAAACCACTGAGCTAGGGCTTGCCAATCAGAAGGTTGGCGGTTCGAATCCCTGCGACGGGGTGAGCTCCAGTTGCTCAGTCCCTGCTCCTGCCCACCTAGCAGTTTGAAAGCACGCCAAAGTGCAAGTAGATAAATAGGTACCGCTCCAGCGGGAAGGTAAACGGTGTTTCCGTGCGCTGCTCTGGTTCACCAGAAGCGGCTTCGTCATGCTGGCCGCATGACCCGGAAGCTGTACGCCGGCTCCCTCAGCCAGTAAAGCGAGATGAGCGCCACAACTCCAGAGTCGCCCGCGACTGGACCTAACGGTCAGGGGTCCCTTTACCTATACCTTTTAACTAGTAGAAGTGGTCTGATTTTACTGTAGTAGTAATGTGTTGTTGTTTTTTAATATATTGTTATGTTATGTGTTAAAATATTTCCATCAACAACTAATGCAATTTTCAAACAAGTTTGCTTTGTTTTCCTTTTTTCAGTAGGATTTTTTACTAACTTAGTATCTACTGGCTAAGCCACACATTCATATGAATAAACCTTAAGATGCACCAGACATGCATTTTGATGTACTGATGAGGTTTCTTTTAAAATCAAGTTTATTTCAATTAATACTAAATAAGCAAGTTTTATCTGAACACGGAATATAAAATTTATAATTCAAATTTATGGATTATATTGTTTGAAGATTGGGGTTCGTTTTTCCATTAAGCAAGAAATGCTATCAAATTTCAAACGAAATTATTTTTGATTCCCTCCCATCACGATAGCTTTGATAATATCAAATGTGGTTTGGAACAAAAAAACTAACTGCTGATGTACACTACTAAGTGCATGTATATTTCTTCCTAGACTTCATGAATGTTTACTATCAGATCCGTTCCAGCCAGTTGGATCGTTCTATCAAAGGACTGAAGGAGCATTTCCGGAAAAATAGCTCTTCCTCGGGGGTTCCATATTCCCCTGCCATTCAGAACAAGAGGAAGGACACACCAACTAAAAAGCCCATCAAAAGACCAGGTTAGTCCGAAGTGTTACATGCCAGTTCCTTAGATTTGTTCTGGAAGCTCCAGTCTTAATAGTCTTGCTTTTTAATCAGTCTGTTCATCTGATGGAGTTCTCTTTGTCTTGTGATGTTTGTTTTTCATTGGGTATTTTCTAGATGTTTTCATTTTGGTTGGATGCCTACATAAATTTCCAGGTTGCTGTGAAGAGCCCCTTAAATAAAAGCTGCATTGTGTTCTTTTCTTTCTTTTTTTAATGAAATGGTTATAAGGAAAGTGATGTATGGAGGACCCATCATTCCCTGGGCCCTTTGAGATGCCCATCATATTTCACTGGCCACAGTAGACATGCTTGCAGATACAGCAAGCATTTTAACACACTCTATGAATCTAGACGGAAGATCTGTGAATCTAGACAGAAGATTTTTGTACTGTGTTCCTTGAACCATCAGTCTCAGCAAGAGTGCCCAGGTCTCATTGGGGGCAGATGGGCTCTGCTGTTGTCATTAGTATGAAAAAGCTAGAGTCTGTTATAATTCCTCCATTGTCACAGACCATGCTAGCTAAAGAAAATTGCTTTTTTGCCAAACGTTCATGCACATATTTCTCAAGTGTAGATGCTAGAGTGATTTCCTTCATGGAACTCCCCACTGCCCACTGTTGGTGATGTGGAACCTCAATAAAATTGCAAAATAAAAATCCCTTTGCTGAACTTTCAGCCACAGCAAGTACTGGAGGAAAGGGCTTAATTTTAAGGGTTCCTTAATTATAGCAGTTGCTGTAAGTATCTTGCTGCTTGCTATTTGACCGCTCTAGGCTGTTGGCCTTTACATCATGGGCATAGCCAAGGTGGAGTGGCTAGGGGGGCAGCTGCCCACCTAGATCAAATAAAACAATAGAAATACGTAATTAACTGACCAATCACGTTGGTTCTCCCCAACGAAGTCCTGCCCCCCTAACAAAAATCCTGACTACACCCATGCTTTCCATACAAGTGTAGAGTGTAGCTGTTTTATTGATTAAAAATGATAACTATCTGAAAGAGAAAACAATGTTTAAGGAGGTAGGTATTTTATACCAGCTTCATCTTCTGTTTATCCAGATCAATTCAAAGCATTGCATAGTGTGTCTGGGGGGAAAAGATAATAATATTACTGGATGAAACTAAGAATTATAAATGTTCTCCCAATCTATAGAAATAATAGACAAGTAGGAGATTTGTAGAACAGTCAGAGATTGAGTTATGAGGCATTACAATAGCATGTTATAATTGTTCTATGTCTTTGTTTTTGTTTTTATAATCCTTATGTGAATGACAGTCCTCATCCCAGGTAAAGTGTGTATTCTGTGTGTCTCTTCTGCAGCTTGACAGACCTTAACTAAACATCTATGTGCTAAGATGCCATTGCAGACCTGTTACTAGTGCTAGCAAAGTCTGTGCTTGGGTTTTTTCAAGGGGATATTTGCCTATGGAGGGGCATAGTTACAATGCCCTGGAGTTCTTCCTGAAAGCTGACTGTGCTAAGAGAGAAGCTGAGGAGGTTTGGGGTCAGATTTTTAAATTAAAGCCAGGTCCACTGTCCATGTGTACATATACATTGACTAGACTATCAGACATTTTACCTCTCAGTAAGATGGAAGCAAATGTTAATTTACTGAGAGCAATATATCACTTACCGCCAATGATGTTTTTGTTTTTCCAACCCTGAGACTAAAACTGCTGTTTTGTCTGAGACATACCACTTTATCTGGTGTGTAAGGCAGTAGATGCAGTGACGTCATCCTTGTCTGACTGCCTCTGATATTTCCAAAGCAGTGGGTTGCTACAGTTGTGTGAAGTGTAGGGACAATTCAGTGGACCACACGAGACTAATTAACATCCTTAAATAATTTTGTCATGTGTGCTACCCATTTGCCTACAGCACCTATAATGCCAAACTGAATGAAACACGTATTTCTGACATGCTGGATGTGCTCGGTCTGCTAGCTTTCTCAGTTGGTGATCAACTAGAAACCTGGAAAATGATCAATCCCAACTAACAGTGTGTGTTTGAAGTAGACCTGCAGAGAAGCAAATCTTAAAACATAATGACAGATAATTGTGCTATATAATTATTTGGCAGATACTGAATCACTCAGTTTTATTTCCCAAAACTATTCAGCTTTCAAGGGCAGCTCTTCACGTGACATTCTAATGTCTCTGTCAAAATTGTCGCTCTTGGTTTCTTTTGTCGGAATGTAATCATCCCTTATTTTGTCTCTTATCTGTCTTGAATGATGGGCAAAGAAGCAACTGTTCCATTTTCTGTGCTGCTGCTTGAAAAAATCATGTTCACTCCACCACCCCCAGCCAATGTTTAGCTTCTAGTTAGTGTTCCATGGCTCCAATGGATGGGTATCTCTGTACTACATGCCTATTTTAATCCCATACATTGAATGAGTTAAAACCTTGCCCCTCCCTCCTGAAAAAAGAGAAAAGTCTCATGGAGCAGGTATAATGAGCTGGGAGAATATGTGCTACGAAAGTGTTATATTCATGGATGTAAATGATAGAGCCCCACCAAAGTGTAACTGAACTTGAGGAGAGCTTGTCTTCTCAATATATGGATGTCAACCCTTTTACGCTGTTGCTCCCCCCCCCACCCGCCCCAATATCTCTACATCATTCCAGACAAAATCTTGCAGTATTCAAGGATAGTTTTTAATGCAAAGAAATTACAAGGGGGCATGCTCAGTGATTCCTTGGGACTTCTTAAATAGATCACTAATTTATCGACTTAGGAGAGATGCCATCATGATGTTTAGACACATTTTTGCTTCATAATAGGAACAAAGCTGATAGTTTGGTCCTGAGCAAAGTGGGGGGCGGCTTTCTGCTGTGGAGTGACTTTTAATAAAAGTCTTTGAAGCCATTGCACTAACAGAATTATTTATGTTGAAAATATGTCTCTTCATGGGGAAAGGACCTAAAGTTCCCTCACCACTATGCTACAAGTAACCTAGATGTCTCCAAGTCCACCCCCCACCCCCCAATACAAGAACCACTGGGTTACTGACTTCCCGAATGCTTGCAAGGAGATAATGTTTTCAGGACAGCTGTGTAAGCTTAGAAGTAACAGCCTGTTTCTCCTCTCTCGGCTTGATCACTGCCTCTACCTTGAATGTGATGCCTTCATTAGTAACCGCCATGCTGTCCCACTTGGTTCAAAAGCGCCTAATCGGGAGAAATAAACCTAGAACAAAAGCAGTTGGTTTCCAATAGAATCCATCAAGGCCTAATTAGGATGCTAAGTACTCTGTTCTCCAGTAGCACTGATTTAATACCCAGAAGCACTTGGTGTGTCTGGAGGTAAATATGGCTAATTGTTCTTATGCAAATCAGAGGAAGACAGTGAGCCAAGGTCCCTTATCTGTAGAGAGTATGGAAGACTTAACTTTGTAGTTTTGCATAGGGAATAGCTCATACTGATGCTTGCTGAATACATAGTAGCTAGAGTCATATTTACATTCTCAACAAAAATAAGAGTGCTAATTTCAATTATGCACCAGCTCTTCAGAGCCTAGTGATGTTTTGCGTAATCAGTGGTAAGGCTCAAAAAATGTAGCATGGGTAACCTAATTCTAGGAATTCAGGAAGCATGGGTCAATTGCACAGTTCAAAAAGCTTAAGAATGGCTTCATACTTTTGCAGGGAAAAGGGATTTTTAAAGTTCAATATTTATTAAATTTACACCCCACTTTTCCTCCCACAGGAGCCCCGGGTGGCCTGTGCCTCATTTAGCAATACTTGCTGACTGCTAGCATTGCTTTCAGACACAAGGCATGTAAAAATTAGGCATGTGCACACCCGTTTATGATCTTGTACTGCTCCACTTTAATAATACAGAATTTGAGCAAAATTTAAAATTTGTTGTTCTTTGCAAGCACTTGGAAGATAACTTGATCTGGCTTTCTTAATGCAATGATTGGTCTCATGATTTATTGCAAAAGCATTATCTTAATTGGAACTGTCCCATGTAAATGAAGTTCAGTGTTTACAGCATTGTTGCAAGTTGACTAATATAGAGTGCCTGTGATGATTGCAAGCCATTTGTGGTTTTCTAAAATGTTTTAAAATATACTTTATAGGTTTAGTCAATAAACCTCAGCGCAGATTCTGCAGTATTAATGTTCTTGCTGTTAACCAGTTTTAAATATCTGGCAGGTGGAGAACAGCTTACTGTATCTTATGCCCTGCTGTCGTTATCCTACCATATGATGGCATTTGATAAATAATGCAACTATAATAATATTGTCACAATGACAACTTTTGAGGAGAGATTTCTGCTGCCTTAGTTCTTTCCCTGAATACAATTCCACACATTCAAAGCTAAACTTGCCTTCTTTGATGTATACTGCATTTGTATGCCCACAAAGTTTTAGGCAAATTGTTAAGTCAAATATTCTCTTGTTTCAGAAAAGTGCATTCCATTGATACAAGGTGTGCTTAGCATAAATAGAAACATAAAGGCTCGCAGCAGTGGCAAGGGTACTTCTTTCACCATTATTTTGTTACAGCACATAAAGTGCAATTGTACCATGATATCTGCTCTAAGTGGGGTACACAGTATTTGCAGTATTTTTAATCAGCAATAGGGCATATAATATCGCATCTCCATTAGATTATGGGTGCTGGGGTTGGCTTGCTTGTGTGTGCATTGTAAGCAAAAGTGAAAGGTATTCTTAGTGATATATTACATAGTTTGTCCATTTTTACCATCATTGGAAAGGTTATAAAGCACTTTATACCTTTCCAAATTTGTTTCTTCTGCGTCTGTGTCTAGAGTGTTGTTTGTCTGATGTCGAAAGCATTGCTTGCACTCGGGGTGTATATGTACCAGGGAGGGCGGGGGTTATGCCTATCTGCGCTCTTGATTCTGTTGGTATGTTTTGTTGCATGTTCACTAATACATTCTCATGTAAAACTGAGGTTTGTTTGTGAACTGACATTTTAACGCTTTCTCTTGTGCTTTTTTCAGTGTTTCTTAGTTGCAGCATCCTGCTTCAGCTACAGTTTAATGCTTTCTTCGTTTTTTTGTTTTACAAAAACGTTCAATTTTTGTGATGTATTTCATTTGCATTTATTCAGAAGTAGAGTCCTAGGGGCTGGGGAGGGGCACAGCTTGACTTTTTGTCCTTTCATTTTGCAGCTAGGCAAGGGGGCTGGAGCAGATCTGAGCTGTGCTGTTAGCTTCTGCCTTCTATTTTCTACAGCTCTCGTGGATGCTTACCCTGTTCTGTAAAGACTTAGCTTTCTCTTTACTTTACCTTTTTTGCTGTCCATGGTGAGAATGCTCAGAATAACACACAGTCTGTAACTACTTTTGTGGCCAGCTGTTCCTGCGCACAAGGCCGTGGGTATGCCTTATGTGGCCATTGGGGGCAGGCATTCCCTGTGGAATGTGGTACCTGCTGTGAAGCCTTGGGGTGCTTGGCTGTCATTTGTGACTTACATTTGTGCTGCTTCTGCTAGACTGGTAGGGGATTGGGAAAGAATTTCCAGGATTCAGTATATGGTGGTCTCTAGCACAGAGTCATGTGCCTCTCTGTGCATCTCCCTACCAGTTCTCCTCGATATTCTTCCCTCATTTCATAATAACAGAAAAATATCCGAAATCTTCTGCTCCCACATGCAGTATTGGAAACTATGTGAATTGATTTGGTTTGACTTCAGGCATTAAGTGCAATGTGGCTGATGCAAACAAAAAACAAAACAGAAAACAAAACAAAACTGCAATATTTTTGTGTGGCATGGTCTTTCTTGTTTGTAAATGGTAGCCTTGTGGGAAAATGGCAGACCATGCTTGTGCTCACAGACCTCATGGGAGGTGCTCTAACCTGATGCAATCCAACTGATGCAAGCAGTTGCTGCTTACATTATTATTATTAAATAATATTTAATAGCAGCAGCAATCCGTTATTAGTTTTAAAATTCTTAATGTCCTGTTTCTCAAGATTCAGAGCAGCTGACAAGGTAATAAAAACAATAAAGCCATCACAAAAATTAATAAAAACAAAACAGATAGAAAGGATAAAACAATTAAAGCAAAAGAAGTCATCCAAGACTACGAATTAACAGAAACAGAAAATGAGGATTAACCCTCAACAGAGCAAGAATCCTCAGCTTTCCCACAAAAGCTTCCCTGAAAAGCCACATATAGATGGGATGGTGATTTAAAATTAAAGAAGGGACAAGGCTATCTTCCACAGTTTAGGCCCTGACCCTTGTATACACCTGCTTAACCTTAGCTGGTTGGGAAACTCAAGCAGGACCTCTGACTATGAGAGTGCACAGGGCTCTGCGTGCAAAGACTCACGCTGCACTCACACTGCACTCACACTGCAAAGAAATGGTCCTCCCCTTGTGGTGCTCATGCAGCATCTGTAATAAGCGAAGCCATTTAGGGCTTTATCCACTAGTACTAGTACCTTGAATTGGGTCTGGTGGCACACGGTCCCATCAGGCTGCCCAACTTGCCAACCTTGCAGCTGCATTCTTCACTAACTGCAGCTTCTGGACCATTTTCAAGGCAAGCGCCACTTAGAGCACACTGCAGTAATTCTTCAGTCTCCCTAAGGGGATTGGTGGCAGTATTAAAGGGCACATAACTGGGCATTCCTGAGTCTGTGTATGTGTATATGCAGAGCATTCTCACTGTTGGCCAGCACTGCCATGCTAGGTTTGGTTGGCAAGGCACTGGTGGAGGGTTGCTTTGTGTTTTGTTTCTCTCTCATTCATTTCCAAGGTCTCTTTGTCTCTCCTCTCTTGTGGCTCTGGTGACAGGCACGATCCGTAAGGCTCAGAATCTTCTGAAACAGTATTCTCAGCAATGTCTAGATGGGAAAAAGGGGGCCTCTAACCTCATTCCTATGGAAGGTAATCGCTTCTCTCACTTTTCACTCTTGAAGGGGGGCGTCTAACTTGGGTATTGGCCTTTCTTCCGCCTTCAAGGCTTCTGTTAGTCTTTAGCCCCACTGCCCTATACAATGAGGTTGCTCAATAAATATCCTGGCTTCTTGTGTCTTTGGGACACAAAAACTGCACAAAGAGCAAAGAGACCAATACAAAAAGATAGGGCAGCAGGTAACTCTTTGCAATGCTCTAAAGAGTTGCAGGCCACATAAATTTAGAGAGGTCCAATCTGTGATGCAGTTTGACTGGCTAACAGAAGTTCTGTTGTAGCTTGGTGTGACCTTTTCTCTCCATGATCTATCCTTGTTCACTTCATCTGGAAAGGTAGCAGCCCTTTCAACCTTGATCAAATTGGAATCGTTAATTCAAAGTACAATGCCTTGCTGTCTCTAAATGAATTTTAGGGACTACATTTAGAAACAAAGGCAGAATAACGGTGGCGCTTGCTTTTAACTATGAACCATGCATTATGCCATATTCTTGATCATGTTTGAAACTGCTACTACTGCTATGGTATTGGAAAAGGGGGTCGTAGACCGGGTTGCCAGGAAAACACTTGTAAATGTCTGAGACAAGCAAATAAAACCTGAAGAGACAAGCACTGTGATGGCCTGGATAAACCACTCCTTCTGTTAATGCCCGCTGACATCTCGCTAGGTCATGAGCATGATTTACGAGTTAAACACCTTTCCGACACCCTGAGTGACAAGCATGGGCCAGCTGCTGGTAAGTACCATATTAAAACTTAAGCTGGTTAATTTAATACTTTTATTTTTAGTGTTTCTTGAGGTATTCTCTTAGGACAGTTCCAGGTGAATTTCCTCTCCCACCCCAAATCGGAGTATCTGACTTTTTCAAGCCGCACCGGATTGTGCTGATCTCTGCTAGTCTGAAAGACAACATGGGCACAAGAAGGGTTGACATGGATGGATCCGTCCAAAAGAGTGGCCGCAGCACAAAGCTCCTATACTAGCTGGGACCTCTTTCCTTTAGCACTCTTCTCCACAACCCCCGAATACAGTTTAATCTTATAGTGCTAAGCCACTCATATGAGAGATGACTGTCTGGGCTGTTCTTTCCCATTTATTCAAGATTTCAGTTCAGTAGAACTTGTCCCTGGTATTTTTATGCATAATTATCTCTGCTGTGCAAGTTCTCCAAACATCCATCTTCAACTGAATGGTGGGTGGGTGGGTGTATCTCCTCAGTGGACATAAAACTGAGCAGATTATATGATGGCACAGTGCCAGTAGCAAGATATAAGAAGAAATGGAATAAAATAACATCGTATTGGATAATGTCTTCAAAACCCCTATTTTAATAGTATTTACGAGCATTTCTTTTTAAACCTGAGTTGCAACTTTCCGCAGAATTGTAGAATACCTTCACATGCTCTGGTGATAGGTGTGTATAATGGCAAAATAGATGTGTCAGCTTCTCCCCACATCATAGCAGACATCATGGCACAAGGGTTTTGTAATATATTGGATACCTATTCTGTTATTCAAGACAGGAGAATTGGCTTCTGGGGGTAGATCTTGTAGAAATAATGGGCGAAAGAAGCCAATAGGAAATCCAGTAGCATCATGGGGAGAGGCACTGTTCCAAGAAGAGAGACGTGGAATATGTTCCTGGCCCACTGAGGGCCTTATTCTGCTATTTTTGGCATCAAGAACTTATTGACATTATTTATTCATTTAAAAGCATTTTTGTCTCACTCTCAGCTGAAAGACAGATTATTCTAGCATGTTGGAGGTATACTGATGTCTTGTGGCATTAGGGTTTTTTAAAGGCATTACCCTAGTTTTATCAGCTAAAGTATTTTTTTTATGTTCCTGTACTTTGTTGGGCATAAATGTTTTAGGAATGGAATGTGCTACTAAATCAAGGCAAGGCAAGCCCTTCCTTTTGTATCAATGATGCTGTTGCAAATAGGATAGATACTTTCTAGGATGGAATTCTTTAGGAGAAATTCTGTTTCACAAAGGCACATGTCAATCAACACTAGAGACTGTTGTACAAATTTAAGGTGCTTTTAAGGTGTGAGTGAATGTGTTGAATCATTCACATTTGGGCTCCCCTTAAATGCTCGCGCTTAGCTGCTTAAAACATTGTATCCTGTCAAGAAGAACATGAAATATTCACCTCCCACCCCTAGATGCACCCTGTGGGCTGGCATGTAACAAAATTTGGGTTATTTGTATAGTTTGAAGTCAGTGGTGCTAGACACAAACTGCTCCACTACAAATGAAAATAAATGCTAATATTATCAGGTTGCCACAGGAAACTGACATCTTCTACGCTTGTGCAATCCCTACAGGGAGAGATGACATGTTGGACATGGAGATTGATGCTTACATCCACTGTGTTAGCGCCTTCATCAAACTGGCCCAAAGCGAGTATCAGCTACTGACAGAAATCATCCCAGAACACCACCAGAAGAAGACATTTGACTCCCTCATCCAGGTCTCCTTGAAACTTAACATGGTTCCTTCCTTTCGCTCTTGTGGAAAAAGCCCATTTCTCTAATTCACCCAGGATTTGTTTTGCTGTAGGAGTCTTTAGACAACCTGATGATAGAGGGGGACAACATTGTCTCTGCAGCCCGAAAGGCCATCATACGTCATGATTACTCAGCTGTGCTGACTATCTTCCCCATCCTAAGGCACTTGAAGCAGACAAAGCCAGAATTTGATCAGGTTTTGCAGGTAACTTCCTATCAATAAAACTCACTACAGTATTGCAAAGCAAGGTCATGTACAATTGGGATGCAGGATCCAGTTATTCATAGCAGGATCAGGACCCCAGACAGGATTTTGTAACAGTTGAGAACTGGTAGGGTGAAGGCCAATTCACAACACAGATGTCTCTTCGCCTTTGGGAATTGCACCAGCTGCCTGTATGCAGCCCAGGACCCAAATATTTAAAGGAACACATCTCCCAATTTATGGTAGCCCGTGCTGTGTGATCAGAGGGAAGAGGCCCTGCTTGTGGTTCCACCTGTGAATGAGGTACGTTCAGTAACGGCACAAAACAGGGCCCTATCTGCTGTAGCTCCCCCTGACTGTGAAACTCAACTGTCCCCCTCATTGGTGACGTTCTGATGCCAGCTTAAGGAGTTTTATTCATTCACGCATTTGAGAGATAGTCAGAAGCATGGGCCACATGGACAGATACAGTGGTGCCTCGCGAGACGAAATTAATCCGTTCCGCGAGTCTCTTCGTCTTGCGTTGTTTTTGTCTTGCGAAACACGGCTATTAGCGGCTCAGCGGCTTAGTGGCTATTAACGGCTTAGTGGCTTAGCGGCTTAGTGGCTATTAACGGCTTAGCGGCTTTAAGAAAAAGGAAACAAACTCGCAAGCCCATAGGGAAATTCGTCTTGCAGAACGACTCAAAAAACGCAAAACCCTTTCGTCTAGCGAGTTTTTCGTCTTGCGAGGCATTCGTCTTGCGGGGCACCACTGTATTAGACTTTTGTGGAGTTAATTAGGTTTTCTGCTGCGTGTATTGCTTTTAACAATGCTTTTAGAAATTTCACTGTATTTTACATGTTTTATGGGAATGTGTGTTGTAAACCCTTCTGGGGTCTGGCTAGATGAAGAATGGCTATAAATAAAAATAAGATGATTTCTAGAAACCAAGTGAAAGAGAAGTAGCTGGGACTGAAGCACAAATGTCCATTTCAGACTAGCAGGCTTGTTCCCTCTTTCAAGAGCCGGAAGAGCCGTAACTCTGCAGTAGAGCATCTCCTTTGCAGGTTCAATCCCTAGCCTCTCCAGGTACGGTAGGGAAAGACTCCTGCCTGAAACCCTGGAGGGCGGATGCCAATCAGTGCAGACTATCCTGAACTAGATTGGCCAACAGTCTGACTTGGTAGAAGGCAGATGCCTATGTTCCGATGAACGCACACAAGGCCTGGCAGTGTGTTCCGCAGGGAAGCTTGAGTTTTGCCTGCTGCTGACAAAGCTTGTGATTGTTTTCTTAGCACCAGCAGAATTGTGAGTGATACACTCTTGTGTTCAGTAGATGATAGTAGCTGCCACACACACACACACACACACACACACTTACACTTGGAATTGTTTCATGTGCTGTGCTGGATATTTCAGGGCACTGCAGCCAGCACTAAGAACAAACTGCCCAGCCTCATAACCTCAATGGAAACCACAGGAGCCAAGGCTCTGGAAGATTTCGCAGACAACATCAAGGTAATGGCTGTCTTTCTGCTGTTTATCTATTTAGTAACCCACAGTAGTGCAGGAGATCCATGCAAATGTTCCATTAATTATGTTTAGGTGGACTGTAAAATCTTGGAAGTTATAATGGGAGGAGAGGGGGGAAAGCGACTTCCCTTCCTGGAATTTAAAATGTGCAATTATAACTAACTTGATTTTGATGTAGTCCCTTTAACAGGCAGCATTGACGATCAAATGAGGGGAGTCCACATAAAGTTTTGTAAATGTTCACAGATCTTTTAGCAGAGAGAGGGAGAGAGAAGTGGTTATGGAGGGATCAAATATAATGACAGTGGCGTCTGCTTAAAATCTATTTTTGTCCACGCATCTTTTTTACAGTGACCAGTAGATGGTGCCCTTGACCCGTAGGGCTGTAGAAGTACTTAGGAGGTTCAGGAAATATAACTGCATAATAACAAGAATGGGGTAGTTCTATGGAGTGCACATTTTTATCCATCTTATCAAATATTCTTTGGGGTTTTTTCCTCCCTAGAACAATCCAGACAAGGAGTACAACATGCCAAAAGATGGGACAGTTCATGAACTCACCAGCAATGTATGTGAAGCAATTCAGAATGTCCCTTGGTAAAACCAGCTCCATGACTTCATCCTTGTTTTCTGTTTTTCTTTGTTACATAAGGGTAATATTCTTGTTGAACCAGGAGAAATGGCATGTTTTAAACCTGGGCTTCCATAACTGACAGTGTCTGGGGTTAAAGGAAATTGATTGATATTAGGCTGAGCTCATCCGTGTGATGCCCATAGCTGCAGTGGCATCCTTCAGACCTTCCCCTGACATCTACAAAAGCTCGGAGCCCCTGCCCACTGACTCCTTTGTCATGGTCTTCCTGAGATAATGTGTGCTCAAACGTTGGAGCACTTTTCAGGCACAGAAAGGGTGTGCATTACAGTCTGGCAGGCAATTTGGAGCCTCGCAATTGGGTGACCTGGTATAAATAGTAGATGCCTTACACTCTGCCCTTGCCAGCTCATCAGAGGACTTCCTTCTGCTTGCTGTGCTTCAGACTCCAGATTCCAGCTTCAAAAATAAAATGTCCTTGAGATCTCTGGGCTGGCTGATGCATCCTATGAGTGGCCAGTGTCAGCCACAACTCTCACCTATTACCACCAGGTCTCATCTTCAAGCAATGACCTCCTTCTCCCTTTGCTTGCAACCTCCATGATCTTTGAAATTAATTACCATAGATTATGCATTCTTCCAGGATAATTATAGGTATAATTATAGATAATTATAGTTTTCATAAGAATGCCCTCCTGTTTCTTTTTCTTCACAAAGTGGAGAATAACAAATTGATTTTTTTTAAAAAACACATATTCCTTCTTTTTACAGGCCATTCTCTTCCTGCAGCAGTTGCTGGATTTTCAGGAAACTGCAGGCGCCATGCTAGCATCCCAAGGTACTCACACACAGCTCCCTGGATACAAGAAACAACTTCCTTGCACTAATAAAGTCATTTCCTTTGCTTGCCTTGCAGTAAAACCTCCTTGACAAGGGTACAGTTTATGCCTCACCTCATCGCCCGTCTAGCTTTATCTGGCACAGCAAAAAAACAAAAACAACCCGCAGCCATCTAAGAAGTTATAAGAGATTCTAAGAGAGATGCCTCTGGTTTTTCACATTAGTTTGTTAGTCTGCTGCTAATTCTATAATCCTTGAAGAGTGAATTTTGAGATAGCCTTTCATCTTCTAAGATAGGTAGCTTTCAGTGAGAATCATGTTAGAATATTGTTATCGCCACATGAACAAGTTGTTAACTGGTTTTGTGGCTAAGTCATAATACAGTAATATGGAATAATCATATGTTTCTGGGTCAGTTTCTGTTGGTGGAAGACAGTGTAAACTTTTGAAATTCAGAGAGTTGTTGCTTTTGGCAGAATTAGAAGCTAAGACCCTGGTTTTTAATATGTGTACTTAAGATGTTACATCTGAAACCCAGGGTATATAAAACTGTAGTTGACAATAATTTAGCAAGATATGTTTTTGCCTCAGCATTATGCAATGTTTATGTTGCTAGGCATATATAGGTTATGCAGTGGTGTATCACTATAAGCCAATTAAATCTCTTCTATGGTTGTTTTTGTTTGAAAAAGAGGTGAGGCCATTTTAAAGATTATAACGTTTAAAGGGGACACCAGTTTGTCCAGTGAGGTCCGTGCTAAGGAGGTTTAACTAAGCAAACTGCACCTTGCATGTGCTGTCCATCATCTGTCCTTTAACAGGTGCCTGTATAATACTCAAAACAGGATCCATTTCTGTGGCTGACTCACCAAAATCCCTTCCGCGTGCTCCTTTGCCCGCTTAAATTGGTAATGGGCAAAGACAGTTGTGGAGCCAACTCTTTCATGGGCCAAAGGAGTGGCAGTTTATTACCAGTAGAGATAGCTGCAATTACTTTTTGTGTCTTTTGATCAGGAAAACATAACAGTGACTGAGATTATAGCAGCTGCCCAAGCAGTAAACAGCTTTGGACATGTAAAGGGGTTTTTTAAAGTCCTAATGGTTAGCAGAATGTGTCTCTGCTAACCTGGCCAATTATTAGGTTTGGGGCTTAATTGCAAGATTTCTTTTGCAGGGTCTGATTGCTTATATTGTCATTGATGTAAAGCAAAATGTAGTAGATAAAGAGCTGGGGGTTTTGTTGCTAATTTGAGACCCAGTCAAAGGCTAACCTTGACTGCACAAGTCTATGTAAAAGAGCCACAGTGACCTTCATTTTTCAAGGAAGTTTAAAAGTTTCATGAGTGGGTGCCTGTGATCTCAAGTAGTTGCTTCTTTGGGCCAGGTGCCACCTCTTCAGGATTCAGAATGCATATTTATCTTGTGTTTTGAGTCCAGTCAGGTAAGGGAAAAGGGCAGATAAATGATTTGCAGGGAAACCATTATGCACACACACCCAGCAAAAAAAACACCCTTATGGATCTAATTACAGTTATTCAGCTTCTCTCATCAAAGAAAAGGAGTTAGGGGACAAGAGCTGTACTATAATGGCAGGTTCAGGCATAATTATAAACAGTGGCTTATTATTACTTGCATGAGCCTTTGGTTCATGCACTTACAGCTTTCCTCCTCTGGCGCAGTCACAACTAGAAGACTGGGAGCTTTCTGTGCCAATTTCAATTAATCACAGTCTAGTATTGTATTCAAACCTTAAGCTGTAGATTATCTTAACAATGGTTAGTTAAAACAAACCAGCTTCATAAATTATGATCTGAAGTTGGCTTGTTTCAGCTAATCAGAGTTAAAGCTAATCACTGTTTGTCTGCAATTAGTTTGAAATGGAAGCAAACTTCTAAACTCTTCTTCCTAGCTATGCCAGGCATGAGGAGGAGCACACAACCCAGAGGCTTGCTGCAGCTCATTCCTGTAACAATAAGACGTGCTTTTTTATTGCACCCAAATAAGATGATAAGATAACAACTCCTTCCCCAAATGATTAGCATTTTTCCCACAGACTTGAGTGCAATTTTCAATTAACCTTTTATTAGTATGCAGGTTGTGACATTCTTCACCTGTAAAGACATGTAGTGAATCTAGGTTGCAAGCCTATGCGTGCTGGTTTGAGAGCAAGCCCTTCTGAAACAGTGAGACTGAAATTAGACCAGGGAGATGTAGGTTCAAATCCCCGCTGAGCCATGAAGCATGCTAGATAACCTTGGAATTGTGTAGGGAAAGGAAGCAGAAGCCACTATCTGTGCCCACTAAAACCCAACAGAGGCCTTCCTTCCTTTCTTTTTGAGTCCACAGCTGCTGTTGACACATTACTGTGATTGCAGTTTTTGAAAAATCTGTGCCCACCAAGGCTGGAAACCCCTGTTTTCAATGGAAGCTGAGATTTTTTGGGAAGTCAGAAGCCCTTCTGCATGGTGCACTGAATATAAGCAGCCTTGGCTATAAGTGGTCTCCTTAGAAAGAATGGCATATAAGCTGCCTACTAGAAACAGAGGTTTCCTCAGTTTCCTGTCACATCCATGCTCTCAAAAGGAGTGGCTCCTGCCTGCTGAACCCATGTAATGCTCTGTGTTGGTATCTTCTGCTTGGTTCTTGAAAGTATGGTTGTCTCTAACGTGTCTTTTTGCACTTTGCATTTCTTCCTTTCTCTTTTTTTCTTCCTATCCTTTTTATCTCTACTCTGCCTTAAATTTTATAGTTCTTGGGGACACATACAATATTCCTTTAGATCCCAGAGGTAAGCAGCAGGTGGTACTTGTACTACCCACATGCATACATAATACTACCTCTCTTTTTTGCACCTGGTTACATATTTCTGCTTGTCTTTAATTGTACCCAATAAAAAACATGTCTTGTTTCATTTATCAGAAAATGTCAGAATGCAGAGGTGGTTCTCCACCCCACCCCCAAAAAGCTTATAACTTGTATGTGGATGCAGCAGCTCATTTTCAAGGAGGCTCAATGTCTGTAAAGCGGTAAATAGCTCTCTGTGGTTCTTGATGGTGGTAACAGACCACTCGCTTTTGCTCTAAGGAGTGTGTCTATAACTCTAATAGGCAAGCTATGAAAACTCACACACTGATGCCCCAACAGCTAGTGGGGATGCGGGTGGTGTTGTGGTCTAAACCATTGAGCCTCTTGGGCTTGCCAATCGGGAGGTCGGCGGTTCAAATTCCTGCGACGGAGTAAGCTGCTGTTGCTCTGTCCCAGCTCCTGTCAACCTAGCAGCTCGAAAGCATGCCAGTGCAAGTAGATAAATAGGTACCACTGTGGCAGGAAGGTAAAAAACATTTCTGTGTGCTCTGGCTTATGTCACGGTGTTCTGTTGTGCCAGAAGCGGTTTAGTCGTGCTGGCCACATGACCCAAAAAGCTGTCTGTGGACAAACGCTGTCTCCCTCAGCCTGAAAGCGAGATGAGCACTGCAACCCCATAGTTGCCTTTGACTAGACTTAACCATCCAGGGGTCCTTTACCTTTACCTTTTTCCTGCCCCAACAGCTGTTTTTTCTTAAGACAATCAACTTCAGGAGACTGGGATTTGAAGCTGGAAAGCCCATTTTACTCCAGACTGAATGACACCCCCCCTATTGTTTTGCTTCTCATTACGTACCTTCCCTTGCAAACACACAGCCGGGACAACATGAGATGGGAAAAGGGAGCAGCTAGGCAGGGGAAAGTAGCAATGGGAGAATGGTGACCGGGGAAAGGGTTAATTACCCTTCCTGTATTTCTCTCTTCAACAACCTCCTTCAAGCTATTTTTGAACTCGCAATTAAGACTTTGTTATATATATTTGCATACAACACACAGGCTCAGTTTCCACATAGCAGGAACCCAAATCATGGCTTAGTGTGAACATGCAGCCTCCCAGAGAGGAGAGGAGGTTGTAGCCTCTGCATTCCTCTCCTGGTCCTGCTGCTGCCATACTTTCTGGGGGAATCAACATGAAGTGATGGTAAAATCCAGGCATGCTCAAGGTAAGCCTCTTGGAGGAAAGGTGCCTGTTTCCCTCCCCCAGGAGCAGGTAACACACAGTGTACCTGCCCTCGTGCAACAATAAGCAAACAGGGCCTGTGAAGGGGCACTTCACCTCTTGCCAACTTCTCCCTTGAGAAATAGCAGCATAAGATGTTAGGCAATATCAGGTGAGCCACTTCAGCTGGAAGAACATGTTCTACATAGAATGAGCCCTTGTAGGCCACATCACTTGTAGGCCACATCACTAGCACCTGCCTATTAGCCAGCTAATAAGTACAAAGCCTGGGAGTTGCTTGCAGGCCAAAGACTTGCACGAGTGCAGTGAAACAGGCTCAGCCCTAGACCCACCATTGGCAAAACTCTTGTCCCCTTCTTCTGTTGGCCTTGTAACATCACCAAGAAGTCATATGTGCTTTCGGTATCAATTGGCTCTGCCAGTATGAAAAGTTCACATACACTTCAAATAAAGTTGAGCCAGCTGACAGCTTCTCATCAAACTTAACACAGTTTCAGAAACAAGTACAGCACTGCTTAAAAGTAAGTTGGTCATATTCACAACAATCCCACAGAATATACACTGCTAAGGTTCCAATGAAAATCATGTTTGCGTTCATACAAGCAAAACCTTTTGTTAACCTGCCTTGTTTATATAACAGAAAGCTTGGCTATTTCCTTCTAACCTATAAAGTGTCACCCAAATCTTGCTGAAGTCAAACAATTGCTTGCATTAATATGAAATGTTAGCACAGTTTTTGTGGTTTACCAAAACAATGTTTTGTTTTTATCCTAAAGAGAATATCTGAGACAAACAGATTTTCGGGTGGGGTGGCGGTGGGAATGTTTATAACCAGTATCTTTTCTCTGTAACGGCATTCACTATATCTGAACTTATTAAGATTATGGTAAAGTAATTCATAAGGTAGCATAAGCCTAAGGTGACAAAGGTTCGGACTGAATGTAGCTCTATTCTCCATTGCATAAAATGAGCAGGGGTAAATTTAGACCAGCCTTCCCAGCCTTGTGCCCTGCAGATGTTTTGGACTAGCATCCCCAGTCAGCATGGCTAGGGGTTTTGGGATTTGTAGTCCAAAACCATCTGGAGGGTACTAGGTTAGAGTTAAACTGATCTAGTCTAGAGTTGAAGCAAAGCTGCTGTTTCCATCTCATAGTACACCCAAGATTAAAGTTTTAGCTGAACTTAGAGAAGTAAAACGTTGCTTGAGTAGGAGACAAAGTAGCCATATAAAGAAATATAATAATTGATTTGATGCTTGCTGCCTTTCAGAGACCAGCTCTTCAGCCAGTAGCTACAGTTCTGAATTCAGTAGACGGCTGCTCAGCACCTACATCTGTAAGTAACTCCTCACCACTTTGCTACCTTCTTCCTTCTCACAGCCTCCAAACTATGGCTATGATTGGCCCATTTGAATTTAAAACGTGGTGCTGAGTCCTGGCAATCCCTACATTCAGCTGAGGCTGAGACTGATGCCAACCAGTTGTGCAGGAAGGATTCACCCGCCCCCTTTACCTGCAGCCATGATGGGCTGCAATTGCTGCTCCTGCCAAAACAGTAAGCAGTCTATGAAATGTAGATTAGTTCCCTGTTTCAAGGGAAATGAAATATAAAAGATGGCATTTTAAAAATGTGTGGTGTTTTTTGTTAATTAAGGCTGCATTCAAACTGTTGCACCTTTCTGTAGATATCTTACAGGTTTATGTAGGTTCCAGTATATGTCGTTGGTGTATTAAGAGTGCACCTTTATAACACATTGCAAAGCAAGTGGGTACATTGTGATAAATAGCAAGGGCACTGCTGCAATCTTGCACAACAAATATGATTTAAAAACAAACAAATCTTGGACTTTTTTCCATAAGAAAAATGATGAGAATGATGGCAGTGGATAGTTCAGAATAATAAACATCCTATAAACTGTGTCCACATTTTGTACATATATATTTTAAAAAGGATTAGGATGACTGCTAAATATATACTTCATCTGCAAGTGGTCCCAATGTTGGTTATCTCACGCTGGATGCCAGGATCTTCAAAGAAGCATCTTCACTGAGACTTTGTGTTATATAGATTGGTTAGAATTTAGCCAGCCAGCTAAGTGGCATAGGTAATCTACTTAAGATCTTTACAGTGGTCTTCTTGTCTCCTCTCATGCATCCTTTCTGTTAAGGCAAAGTGCTGGGCAACTTGCAACTAAACCTTCTCAGTAAATCCAAGGTTTATGAGGAATCTTTAAGTGCCATCTTCCTGCTTAACAACTACAATTACATCCTGAAGTCCCTTGAAAAGTAAGTACTTGGATATTGTTTATGTACGTGCTGGAAGACTGGAATTTCTGCCACTATAATTGAATTTGTGCTTATGAGGTTCTTTCGTTAACTCTCTGGCAGAGCACATTTTGTACTCCAGTTTTTCTGCTTCACTCATGCTTTGCTCCCCTTCAGAAAGAGCCCTTTGATGTCTGTCATTCCTACCGTAAGCAATGTCTTACACAAAGGAATGGAAAATAAAAGCAGCCAAAAGGGCTGTGATTGCATCAGGCTCTTTTATCTTGTCAGCCGAAAAGCTCTTGTTCTGGAGAGCACTTCCCAATAAATCCAAGAAATAATTTACTGCTGGTTGCTTTGCATGACTCAAGAGCAGTTACTCAGACAAATAACAATTAATGTAAGCCCTTTGCAGTTTTACATTCCTGCAGATGATCTAGTCCACTACTCAGTACTCAAGCATTTATATATCTAAATATTTCTACCTGACTATGCATACAATAATACAATTAAGTTGGTAGTTATCCACATTATGGTGTACCAACAGGTGGCACAAAGCACACTGCCATCAGGGAGAACCATAGTATGTTTGGTCAGACAAACCCTGTTGGCACATAGAAAGTGAGGAATTCCAGTCATTATAGGGGGAAAGAGAAAATTCCAGCTGGTCTGTCCTTGTAATTATGGTGGTGAAATCTTCATAACCACTAGCCTAGCAATCAGCTTTGTCAGAGTATGACAGCGGATGGCACTGTGGTCTAAATCACTGAGCCTCTTGGGCTTGCCGATCGGGAGATTGGCAGTTCGAGTCCGTGCGATGGGGTTAGCTCCCATTGTTCCGTCCCAGCTTCTACCAACCTAGCAGTTCGAAAGCATACCAGTGCAAGTAGATGAATAGGTACCACTGCAGCAGGAAGGTAAACGGCATCTCCATTCTCTCTGGCTTCCATCATGGTGCTCTGGTGCACCAGAAGCGATTTAGTCATACTGGCCGCATGACCTGGAAAGCTTTCTGCAGACAAACGCCATCTCACTCGGCCTGAAAAGCGAGATGAGCGCCGCACCCCATAGTCACCTTTGGCTGGACTTAACCATCCAGGGGTCCTTTACCTTTTTTACCTTTGTCAGAGTGCCTAATGTTCCTAAGCTTCAGAGCCTTATATTTCAATTTTTAAATGTGAAAACAACACCTATTAGTTCTACATCCCCAACAGCTGCTCTTCATCCCTAGTGCCTCTCTTACCATGTGCTCCAATAGCCCTTGTTGCTATTGCTTCACTTTCATCTTAAAATTGCAACTGATGGAGGCTACTCCCACCACCCAGACAAGTGCTCCTTTTCCATCTCCCAGCACCACCACCTCTTAGATTGCTTTGAACCCCGGGGTTTGGAGGAAGAAGGGTTAAGGTATGTCTGTTGAGAGTCTAGTGCACAAGCATGCGTATTCTGGCTTGTTAACTTCTGGTTCTGCTCATTTCCCCAAGACCTGACTAAAAGCTGTAACTTCACAGGCCTGGCCTCCTGTGAAAGGAAGGGCAGTATAGAGATGTAATATATAAATAAATACCATTTTACATGCACCCAGAGCTTGCAGGCAAACCTATCCATAAAACACAGCGCAGAGAAAGGACCTTAGCAATTCAACATCAGTCTATGGCTATGCTATCCCATCCTGTATCCCATCTTTGCTGCTAGTGCTCTGCAGAAGAATGGGGGGAGGGAAGTGTTTTGGGGTTTGATCCTGAGCAACAGCTGCCTATTATTGAAATGCTGGGTGGAAATGAATGATACAATGCTCGGTTTAATTGGTTTTCAAGATAAGACGTCTCTAACGTGCTTGCCATTGGTGGCTATATTTTTTATTCTGCTCAGAGCCTTTGCTTTTCTCCCTAACCTGGAGGAGGAGGATAATTATAATTATAATAGCATTATTTGTACCCTGCCTATCTGACTGGGTTGCCCCAGCCACTCTGGGTGGCTTCCAACATATATGAAAACATAATAAAACACCACACATTAAAAAGTTTCCCTATATAAGGAATTCCTTAGACCTTGTACTGTCTTCAGAAAAGCTCAGGAAGCAGTGCATTATCTTGGTGCTTTCCAAGCCTTCCCAAAGTCAGGGCATGATCTGAGAGACTCCATGCCCAAATCTAGGCTTGGAAGAAGGAGGGGAGTCTTTCTGTCCTTGTGCTGAGGCCTGAAATGCAGTGGGACGGATTGTTGCTTTCCAGTCATTTATTAGTCACAGAATGTCAGCTATAATCTCAAAGCTTGCGCAGGAAGGAATGAGTACTTACCCCCATAGTTGTGCTGAGCCTCTGGTGTGTCTGGAGCATCTCCTGAAGCTCAATGTGATGCCACAGTCAAAACTCCTTCCCCCTTGGGGCAGTGATGAACCCACATTTTGGCTAGCTATCAAGGCTAGCCAACATTTGTGGGGCCCTGTTTCAACTTAAAACTACAGGTGGACTAAGCAGCTGTTTTGAAAAACTTGAAACTCTATCCTCAGAAAAGTACTGATGCCTTGTGACCTCATTGTTCATGTAGCACTGCTTGTCCTTGTTCTTCCTCCTAGGTCTGAGCTAATCCAGTTGGTGGCTGTGACGCAGAAGAATGCGGAAAAATCTTATAGAGAACACATTGAGCAGCAAATCACTGCATACCAGCGCAGGTCAGAAGAATGTGGCTGCTCCTTTCCCATTAGAGTCAGGAGGACCTCAATACTATAAATAGCCTATAATCATTGTCTATGTGAAGAGGCCTTTCAGTAGAACATTATGAAGTTGGAGAAGGCAATTTGTCCTCCTTGGAAATGTTATTCAAGTAAAAATAATTGGCATAGATCGCAGTTCTGACAGCAACAAATTTCACTCCCACAGCTTGCATGCAGTAGGGTACATTGCTCTTTCCAGTATTTGCCAAAGGTTAGTTTTGCCGATGAGATAGGAAACCAACATGTGAATGGATGGCACTTAGATATGCTTAATTGAAAAGGTGCTGGGTATCTATACATATGCAGATTGATAAGCAGCTCAGAGGCTGCTTTTCCATATAAAATAGGTATTCAGGAGGTGAGGAGTTGAGCTGAACTGAAAGCTTCATTTTTATAAGGAACAACTTAGGTGTGCTGACATGCTAGTCCTGAGATCCAGACATCACCTAGTACCACAAGCCTTCCTGTCCCAAGTTGTAGTAGACTTCAAGGAACTGATTTGGCAAAAGCCAGCCTTGATCCTAATACCCCGTCTCTGGCCTTTTAAAATTTATTTTTATATACAGCTTCACACTTCAGCAGAATGTTCCCAAGCTGTGCCTACCTACTCTGTATCTGATATCATATATGATGTGTGGGGCACATAAAGACATGAATCCCTGTTGCAAGAGGGTTTTCCAGGTGCTGCTGATCATTGGTGCCTGCCAACTTCCTGTACCTTTGCCCGAAGGGTTTGATTTCCCTGGAGGTTTTTAAGCAGAAGTTGGATGGCCATCTGTCAGGGATGCTTTAGCTGAGATTCCTACATGGCAGGGGGTTGGACTAAATGACCCTTGGGTCCCTCCCAACTCTTAAGATTCTATGATTTCAGACTGCCAAGGCAAAGCAAAATGCTCCATCTGATGTCATGGTGATGCTCACTTGTCAGAATGGCCTACAGGTGCTGGATGCAGCCCACTGGTCAGATCCATTTTCGTACCCCTGGAGCAGCCTAACAAATATTATTATTCTTACTTAATTTCTGTATCACTTAATGCCCAAATAACACAAGCTGCTTAAAAGCACGTATTCTTCTGAGCCCTGGATGTACAGACAGATCCATGTTTGAAGCCAAACATGCTGTGATAAAGGTCTAGACCCCCTATTTGGATCCTCTATATATTGGAGCATATATAGCACATGCATTTGTAATTTGTCACTTATTTTATTCATTTGTTTGTGTGGCCATCACACCCACGTTGCTTACTCTTCTTTATGTCTATTTCAGCTGGTTGAAAGTAACTGACTCTTTCTTGGACAGAAACTTGCCTGTCGTCCAACCTGGAGTCAAGGTGAGAACACTTCAGAAGTAGCTTTCTGTGTTGGAAAGTTAGGATGTATATTACACACACACACACACACACACACACACACACACACACACCCCTATATAAGAGTTTGTTGTGGAAATCACATTAGAGCCAAACTGTTCATGGTATTGAATGTGTTTAGTATTCCCTCCCAAGACTCTTATCAGCTTTGTGAGGAAGGCCAATTTTGGCAGGACTGTGTCATCCAGGAAAAGAAGCCACCCCTCCAAATTTGTGATGATCCAGATCTTGTCCCATCACCAAAGACTTTTTAAAAATCAATGGCACATGAAATGCTTATATGCAGTTTGCGTTAAAAGCCAGCTAGAAAAAGGAAGTCCTTGCTAACTGCCTACGGATCTCTCATGAGAGGATATTTCACAGGCACCGCCACAGAGAACACCCTGTCTCTCATACATTGTTTCCTGATCTTACCAGTAGACAGGACAGAGAGCAGGGCTAGCAAGATCAATCCTAAAGCCCAGACAGGTTCATATGGGTGCAAGTGGTTTCTCAGGTAATCTGGTCCTAAACTGCCTAAGGCTTTCAAGGCTTTTCTGTAAATCAATCCCAGAAAAATAAATGGGCAAAAGCACAGGTTGATATAAGATCAGAGTTACCCTCTCCAGATAATTGGGCACTAGCGTTTTGCATTAATGAAGTTACTATTTTCCAAGGCAGCACCACATAGAGAGCATTGCAGTGAAAGTAACCTGGGCATGGATAACTGACCCTAGTTCTTTGAGTGTGGTGGTTGCCAGAGGGAAATATTGCCTGCTTTGTGCTGGGAAAACCTTTAGATCCCTGTCTATAGTGCTCAAACAGAAGTGTGGGGAGCAGCTTTATTCACATGCCATTACGCTATAGCAAAAGCAGAAATACTCATTGAGTATTAACTGAGTGCATGTCTGTAAGGCCTGTATAAGACTCCTATGAATGTATAGGGCCCAGCATCAAGCTAAGTGCTCCCAATTAATCAAGAAGCATTGGAATATCAGCCCTGGAACAAATTAGTCTGAGAAGAAGAAATAACAAGAAGAGCTCTTTTTCTTAATCTCCCACAGCTCAAAGACAAAGAGAGACAGGCCATCAAGGATCGCTTTAAGGTAATTGGCGATTGGAGCCTAGACAGATGTTCTTGTTCTTGGCTTTGCACCCATTTTGTTAACTTTTCCAACTGCTCTACAGAACCAAATGCATGCTTAACATTATCTTCTCTCTGGGAAAGGGTTTTAATGATTGTCTAGAGGAGCTGTGTAAAATCCAGAAGGCTTGGGCCATCCCTGACACAGAACAGAGGGACAAAATCCGGAAGACCCAGAAAAATATTGTGCTAGAGACCTATTCTGCCTTACTAAGCAGGTAATTATTTGACCCACAAAGATGTCTTTGTTCAGAGAGTTTTGACAGGCTTTGAAAGTTGTGTTCCTGATTTGAAAGCTATCATTGTCTGTGATGGGTTTATAGATATGTGCAGAATTAGCCCCTCCCCCGGTGTCTGAGGGCCCCCAAGTTATTAGTATGCATTGAGAGGATACCTTTGAAACGTGACTATGAATTGCCATTGTTGAATTTAGTATTTTAGTTTGTTGCCTTTTTTTCCACTCTTCACTTCTCCTACACCCCCAATTGAAATAAATGGATTCTGACCATAAGGGTGGAGGTTGCCAACCTGCCACCTGTGAAGGCCCACATTGGCACACCTGGACAGGAACAATTGACTCTGAGCTTTCTTTTCTTTTTTGGGGGGGGGGGTCTCTAGCTCTTCTAGAAAGAAATTTATGAAGCATATTGTACAAGCAACTTTCTAAGCTGGGGATTTAAGCAGAAGGACGGGTATAATACGTCTTCTGGCTCTATAGCAGCCCAGAGCACTTGTTGGAGTTGCAAAGGCTCGCCCACTTCCAACACCAATGGGCTGCGAAGTTAACTCCTTTCCTCATTTTTGGAAGAAAGGATTTGCCTAGGCAGTTGTGATGGGAGAAAGATGGTGAGGAGAGTTAGGATAGTTGCCACCCCTTTGTGGGTTTTTGTCTGTACCAGTAGCTGGCTACATTTGATTGTAGGTGGATCAAGAAGGCAGCATTTTGTGCACCAAATGTATGTAGTAGTAGCTCAGCCTGCATCACATTAAACTCCCAGCACTGGGAATAAACACAGCAATTCTTTTTCTCTTCAGCCTTGCTGTATAACAGATCTTCGACCACTTGTAGCAGTTGTATAACTTCACTGGAATTGAATGGATAGGGGGAATTCAACATAATGCAATGTTGATTGTTCTGTCAGTACAAGTGGAGGTTTTGCCACCTTTGCCCCCTGAGCCACTCTCAGGGGGCACATGGGAGAGGAAGATGGAAAGCCCCATTGCACCAGCAAATGTTCTTGCACAGGCTTTCGTTAGTGGGACTAGTTAGTTGAATCCTGCCCACTGCATGTTGTTCTGGCATCTGGTGAAGAAGGGGAGGGGAATTGAGGAGTGAGAAATCCTGTCCATGCTTGTCACACCTTTTTCTCCCCCTTGCTTTTCCCTTGGCAGGTATGGCAATGTACCCTTTACCAAGAACCCTGAGAAATACATTAAATACAGGGTGGAGCAGGTGGGAGAGATGATTGAGAAACTGTTCGACACATCAGCATGACCTCTCTGCCTGTATGTCTCAGTACTTTCTCAGCCCAGTATGATGGCCCTGAGTTATGCTTGTATTTATCAAATTTATAAATTCCTAAGAACATGATTTATGGGTTGTCTCTTACTTCTTACAAGATCATTGGTTGAAATCTTGCTTGGTGGGTAGGTGTTCCTAAGATACTAGTAATATGTATAGAATTCTCTTTTCTGCACAGGGCTAAATCCTTCTGTATAGTGTGCACACAAGTGCAACCTATAGCTTAAGGATGAGCTAGTTTCTCCTTCAGAGGCACTGCCCTGGCCATTCCTATGTAAGCTTAAAACCCACCTCTCTCTAGTTTTCCTTTTTTATTTTATTTTTTTTAGTTTCAACAGGAGTACAAGGAACATACAAACACCAACAAACAGTTATCCATAAACAAAAAATCTACTTGTAGATGGCACTTGGGACAGCTGCATGGTGCCATAAGTGGAAAGATGCTGCCACTCACAAAATACAGCAAAGCCTCAATTTATTAAAAATGTCTACAGAGATGGTCAGACCGAAATGGGAGCTAATTGTCTGGACGTCACCTGGTACAGCCAGCCTAATAAAGAAAAATCAAGAAAGGCCATCAAGTATCTGTAGGCTTACCCAGCTTAATCAAGCCCTTGCAGATTCCGCTCTGTTGAGTTATTCTGGCTCAGTTTATTTCTTTTTTTTTTTAATCTAGAGGTTCTTGCCCTCTTTCCTTGTATGCCCTGTTGAAATGTGTGAGAAGTTATTCCCCAAAAGAAAGGATGAAATCACTTGTTGATTACTACCAGTGGATATGTAAATGGTAGATAAGTATCCTGAAAGGCCAATAATTGGCAAGAAAATAGGGTAATGGATGCAATTGTAAAATAATCCCTTCCATGCCTGGTTCATCATTTATAAGTGAGCCAGAAAGTTCAGTGGAGATTTTCCTGACATGAGGTCATGTGCTGACAGTGTATCTTGGTCTCTTTTTTCATTCCCTTCTCCTCTAGGGACAAGTAAGACTTGGATGTATTTATTTAAAATTTTTCTAAGCTGCTCTTCCTCTGATGGATTCCAGGACAAAGAGATATTAGCATAAAAGCAACACTTGTAACATCTTTCATAATAACTTAGCAATGGGGAGGCAATCAGAGACTAAAGAAACTAAAAGCAGATTGAGGCAGCTTAATGCTTTCAAATGCCAACACCACATTTTATCCTGAACCTGGCAACATTATACTCTGGGCATTGTACTACTTTGGGGAGGGCATTCCAGAGTTGGAGAGCAGAAAGGCATTTTGTGCTGGCTTGGCACAGAACATATGTAGCCATATGCAGACATACGTTAAGATGTATCTGATAGTATATTTACTTGTACTGCTCGAAAGGTATTGAATTGCACTGTTAGCCATTTGGGGATCTCTACATCATAGAATTGTAGAGTTGGAAGGGACCCAAAAACTATCTCTATGGATTTCCATTTCAATTAGAGCTCTTAGCTTGAAGGTGTAATTTTTCAATGGTAGATTCAAGAGCATCACCCCTTTCAAAAACCTTCCTTGCAGTGCAGTCACTCCAGAGTGCCTGAAGATTTGAAATAATCTTACATGTTGGTTATCTCAGTGGTACTCAGGAAAGAGCTGGAAAGGTCTCATAGCTATTCCCTGCGGGTTTTGAGTGTTTTTCAGTGGAGATGATAATGCATCTTCCAAAGATAACCTGCAGATATATTGGATTGTTACTTTTCAACTACTGGATCACAATGTTCTGCTTCTAAAAGAATTGCAGTCCAGGCAATTGATTTCTCTAAATTGCAGTAAGAGCACAGATTGCATCAACACTTGAGGCATTTTTAACAGGGGGCTGATTTTCCTACTTAAAGCTGAAACAGTCCTAAAACTTTAAGTAGGAAAATCAGACCCCTGTTAAAAATGCCTCAAGTGTTGATGCAATCGATGCAATTTAGAGAAATCAATTGCCTGGATTACAATTCTAGCATTATCTGAGAATAATTATTATCTAGCCCTATTGAGCTAGAAACAAACTTGTGGGAAAGAATGAGGAGGAGTGTCATATTCTCAAAGCTTTGCTAGGAAGTATGGATGACCTGCTTGTACTCATTGTAGACTTCCACAATTCCCATGACACAACCAACTTTTCTCACCTAACCAAGATACAGAAAAGTTAGGACAAGAAATAGAAAGCTGCTTGAGCTATTTAACACTTAATTTGACAGCTCCTGTGTGATCCCATTGCTGCCTCTGTCTTCAATATTATTAAAAACTCAACATTTGTTTCTTAATAGTAGGTTACCCCCCCTCCACTATTTGGTTTTCTTACTAGCGACCCCTACCTTTTATTCACATTTGCATGTCTGCTTCTTGCAAGACTCTGATTTGACTTTGTTAGGCCCGTTCATATGGCACGTGCTCACTGCTTGAGTCATGCGTTGTTGAATACTCACAGCTGAAGATATGAACAGACTCCACTGAAATGCACTGTGCCTGAGGTGGTAAGCAGGTTCTGTTTGCAGTGCTTGATCTCTGGTCCCATTCACACATGCAATTTGTAGCAAGGGCAGCACACGCAGCAAGTGGTGAATGGGTATTTGTGAGCCAGATAACTTGGATTTGGTACAGTTCTGGCTTTCCACCTGCATGTGCCTTGCACCTTTACTCTTCTCTCAGTATTTGTTCTAGCTAGTTCCTGAGTCATGTCTCTTCTGTTGTCTTTTTGGGCAGGTGAACTAAGACTGAATGTTATTTCCTTAATCCATCTGGTTGTTTTATCATAGCAGCAATGAAAGGCATCGTCTGTACTCCTTTTCTTTTTGTGCATTAGTAATTCTACACTGTCCTTTTATTGGAAAATACAGATCCGAGGGAAAGAGGAATAGTACACACAAAGGTTAATCTAGGTGTAATTGGAGAGCCACGTTTCAGTAACTGTACGATGCTGGTAGCAGCAATACATTACCAGATAGGTGAGTGAAAACTACCTGGGCTTTCTAGGAGCTGGGTAGCCCTGGCTACTGCTCTGTTTTTGTTTATGTGCAATATTTATCGATTGCAGGTGAATGAATTTCCCCTTCCTATATTTCCCTCCTGCAGACCTGCACACACCCCTAAACCTGCTCCAAAGAGTGCCACCACAACTCTCCAAAGCATATTTGGTGGGCAGGCAAGGGGTTGCAGGAGAGAAGTGAAGAAAAGGAAGCCCTGTTGTGTGAGCAGAAGTGTGTTGCAAAAGTGGGCAGACACAACTGGGTATCACTCGTTGTTTCTATTGATAAAATGATTGACAATAATTCAAAAATGCAAATAAACCTAACCTATACACAATAGAAAAATAGTACCACAAAACAAAAACACATAATATCTCCACTAATCCCCAGATTTCCAACAAAATGAAAAGGTTTTCACCTGCCCACAAAATAATATCAGGGTAAAGCATCTACTGTACTGGAGAACACTTGCTCTGCAACATACACGAACTGGGAAAACGCCACATGTTTTAGGGAGAAGCTGTTCATTTGTGTCACATCTAAAATACCATTTTCAATGTATTCTTCCTTTTAAAAATTTAATCAGTTCAGAGAAATGCATCTCCTGGAAGACTGCTGAATGTACTCCATTTTCCATAAATCTTTAGATCAAAGCAAATTATGCAGATAGAGGATCGGCAAATATGTATAACTTCAACTCAGTACAAAGCAAGGCTTTAATGCGGCTTTAAGGGTGGCACCATTATTTTTGTTCCCATTTGATTCCATCTAAGTAGTCTTCTCCTGGAGGCTTCCCTGATTCGCATTTCCAAAAGAGCCAGACTGCGGAAAACAGGAGATGAAACACAACAACAAGTCCAAAGTAGATGAAGAAGAAGAGCCTGTCCACATGGGCAGAAGCTTGTTTGAGATGCGATGACTCTTCAGTTGTCCCACAGTCTGAAAGGTAAAGGAGAAAGATGAGCTGAATGAATGCTCAGTTTGCAAGCTTCATATGACCAAAGCACTTGAGGGGGAATTCAAGTGATCTCTTATTCAAACCCTTTCGGGTGATTGCCGCAGAAAACAAAATAAGCAGAACCCGAGATGCTTTTGAAAGGTACATTTGAAGTATTACCGATGGACTTTGAGAAAATAAACAGCTGGTAATTGATGAATTTGAATTCAAACCCCTTTGATATATTTAATACATTCATAGTTCTAGTGTAGATCCAAACCCCTTTCCTAAGCATTGGTGTTTGTTTGGGCCCAGATTCTGCAACAAGTGAATTTTGCCTCTGATCAGAATTCAGAAAATGGGCTTGTTAAATTCTGAATAAATGAGGTCTTGTACTTTAAGTGGGTTCTTTTCTTTGCAGGATAGATGCTTGCTTGGAGGGAGGACAAAACTGGGACAGAGTTCTCCTGCCTTAAGGCTTCAAGGGTGTGTTGTTGAGGCTCTCATGTTGCTGCAGCTGTCCATCTATTGATATTCAGAACCACCTTTCTGTTGCAACACCATAGCACAGTTTGGGAGAGAGTGGGGTGGCCCTGCTAGCAATTAATTACACTTCTGATTCTTTTCAATCATTCTTTGGCACTACTCCATCTTTCTTCCACAAAGCCTTCAGTGGATCCAGAGGCTTGCCTGCATCAGGATGTTGTATTGTTAAGACCAGCTTTCCCCAGCTTGGTGCAATACTGGCTGGAGCTGATGGTAGTTGAGTTCCCCATGTTTGGGAAAGGCTATTGCACACTGAAATGTGGCTTGCTACTGGTCACCTTGCTTGGGGAATGTCATTCTGTTTTATTTCCCGTTAGCACCTACCGCTTTTCCCAGGATCTTTTGTATGTTCTGGATTATTGCTTTGGTCTTTAGGTAGCATAGTGGTAGCCTTTGCCTTTCCCCACTGACATCCACAATTCAGCCAGAGATTACTGTTGTCAGTAACCAACTTTGTCACCAAAACAGTCTCAATTGTGCTAAGGAATAGTAACACCAGGAGACTGATGTAGTAATAACCTGGAGTTTAGAAAAAAGAGGAAATTAATTGCACAGCTGTTGAGCAAATCATTGGATAATTGTTCTAAACAATTGACTTCAAAAAATTGTTTAGCATAGCTGTAGAATGCCAAAGGGAAACTAGCAGACATGGACTGAAAAACTCAAAATAAGCATGCACATAATTTCCAGTGAAACCATCATTTTTACAAAACATTATTTTTACGTCGATTGCCAGAAAGGAGGGCTGGAGCTGCCTGCTTGGCCTTGATGTTTGGTCTTTGTGACCACTCTTTTGACGGCATTACATTCCTTAGTGATAATGTGCTGCAAAGTAAGGAATTTTTATAGTAGTGTGAGCTGAGGCTTAACCAAGAGGTTTCAACCAGGATGAAGAAAACAAGACAGAGCTAAAAGATTGAGCAGAGAAAAAGCATGAAGTGATTTCAAAAGATGAGGGAAAGGTTTTTGTACTGTATTGCAATGGACAAGAGAACCAGGCACAGGGAACAAAAAAGTGACAGGTTTGAAGAGGCACACGATGAAGGCAATCCTTATAGTGTTATTCATTGCAGGAACAGGAGCAATAAAGAATAGCATTTCGGAGGGAATGAGCAAGTGTTTTGGCAGTATCAGAAAATGATGGAAGTTGAGGAATAAGTGGAATCGAGTTCCACCTGTACTGATAGTTGCTTACTTGCACCGCTCATTCCTACCATCCATCAGCCTAAACCAGAGAGGGGAAACCTGTGCTCCCCCAGCTGTTGCTTTACAACTCCCATCTCCCTGACCATTGGCCATTCAAAGAGGAGGCTGCTGGGAGTTGGTGCCTAACAACATCTGGAGGGCCAGAAGTTCCCCATCCCTGACCCATGTGTATGCCAGACGTGTTGTTAAACACATCATTCTCATGTCGCCACCCCACCCCATTGTAGGGATAGTTAAGGCCTGAATCTCACTCACACAGGCCCACTTAAAAAAAAATATTTTGTAAAAGAGGACACTGATGATGTGCTTAGCATCAGGGGAGGCAGACTTTTAGTTTTGCACATTGTATTCTATTAGAATGTCAGGATCTACGAACCAGTGCCTGTTGCAAAATGGTATGTGCTTAGAATTAAATAATTCTGAGCCCAGGAATTTGCTTCTAAGTTCCAGAACTAAACTGAGCTCCTGGTTCTTCAGTACAAAATCCATACCCAGTTACCTTAAACTTTCTTCATTTCAGCAATATCATTTAGGATGGGTAGTGGGGGAGTCATAGAACAGAATAATATAATTATAGTGTTGGAAGGGACCCCATGGGTCATCAAGTCTGATCTCCTGCAATGTCTGAATCTCAGCTTAAGTAGTGGTGACATTTTGTTGCTATTATTCTTAAACAATAGTGAGTCAGACTCCTGGTCAATACACCACAAATCACCCAAAAATGCATCAGCGGAACAGATCGACCTTCGGCCTATCTCTATTAATATGATATTTAGTTTGGTCATGTGCATGCATGTGGAAAAGAAAGAAACCTTCACTTTGCAGTCTTGTAACAGCCATTAAAACTGGTCTGGGAAGGAGCATATGAGTCATGGCTCATGACTCATCCTAACAAATGTCTCTTATTCATCAACAAAGTCAACCATGTTTGAAAAGCAAGGGATACGTGTGTGTGTGTGTGTGTGTGTGTGTGTGTGTGTGTGTGTCCCTGCCCATGTAAGCAGCCTTCTCTTTTGCTCCTCTCCTGCCCTGACTCCATGCAAATCCAGAGTTGTGATGAGGCACTACAAATCCTTCCACAAGGGCTGCACAATGGCAGCCTTACAATTTTATGCATATAGGAAGAGACGCCCACACCCACCCACCCACCTCCCTCTCTTTCTGTAAGCAGCTATGCAGTGTATAAAATGGTGAATAGAATGATATTGCCGTTTGATGTAAGAACCATTTGATTAATCTTAATTAAGAGAATTTAGGCTCTTCTTCCACAGCACTCTAGCTCATTCTTGTGCGCCTCAGTGCACAACAAAGGATATTCTGAGTTAGGGTGAAGAAATGTGTGCTGGGAGGGGAGCTCTTAACTAAATCAGCGCGTTGTTTTTCTTATTCACAAGAAGTGCTTGGGGAAGCACTGCACAGTAGGAAGAACACTCAGCCCCTGACCAAAATGACATCCCTCTGGCAAGCTCTCCTTTCTACCTCTGTGACCTATAGTTCACTATACTCTGTCTTGATGCTGTCTTCCTTTTAAAAATAAAAATAAAAATAAATAAAAGTCTGCCTATTTCTCTAAAGAAACCCAGGGCTCATCCACACTTACCTTTTGCCCTGCACTTTCTAGGCACAATTCCAAACTTTAAAGCACCATGTCTGAGCATTATTTATGCTCATTATTTATACACCAGTGTGGTGTAGTGGTTAAGAGCGGTAGTCTTGTAATCTGGGGAACCAGGTTCGCGTCCCCGCTCCTCCACATGCAGCTGCTGGGTGACCTTGGGCTAGTCACACTTCTCTGAAGTCTCTCAGCCCCACTCACCTCACAGAGTGTTTGTTGTGGGGGAGGAAGGGAAAAGGAGAATGTTAGCCGCTTTGAGACTCCTTAAAGGGAGTGAAAGGCAGGATATCAAATCCAAACTCCTCTTCTTCTTCTTCTTCTTATTTTGCCCCAGCACTTTCCCTGTGAAAACCTGCTCTTTAACGCGGAATCAGAACAAATGGGTTTCCTATGGATTGCCATTTGCTCGGATTCAGCTTTTAAGAATGGGTTTTGTGCTCAGTCACGGTGCTTTAAAAGCACGGGCCTGTGCCTAGAAATGCAGCCTGACAGGAAGTATGGATGAGCTCTCGAGGCGACTTACAAAAGCAAAACAACCCCTGACACACTAAAATTTAACAATATCCAGTCCCTTTAACAAATTCCAGCAGCTAAAACACAGAACTTATCCAGCAAAAATTAACTAAAGGCACTTTGGCAGGAAAGACTATTGTAAGTACAGTGGTACCTCGGGTTAAGAACTTAATTCGTTCTGGAGGTCTGTTCTTAACCTGAAATTGTTTTTAACCTGAAGCACCACTTTAGCTAATGGGGCCTCCTGCTGCCGCCGCACGATTTCTGTTCTCATCCTGAAGCAAACTTTTTAACCCGAGGTACTATTTCTGGGTTAGTGGAGTCTGTAACCTGAAGCGTATGTAACCTGAAGCGTATGTAATCTGAGGTACCACTGTAAAGAAATAAAGAGTAGTACTATTTCAGTGTGATAGGGAAGGTTACCATGAAGTCCGGCACCTCAGGACTGATCATGACTGACTTCTCTAAGAGAAGCCTGAGGAGTCTTCAGCTCGCCAGTGCTCTTCCCCTGTCCCTGGCAATCTCCCTGAAGCCATGCCCCCTCCTCAGGTGACCAGGAGGGCTCAGTCCTCATGCTCATTGCCATGTGCTGGGCAGGGGAGTGCACCCTCTCCTCCCCACATGCCACAGATGGGATGGAAATCAAGTTCTCCTGGCTTTTCACCTTAGGAGAGGGAAAGGCCGAATCCTGCTACTCAGCCTGCTGAAAAACAGACAGCGTTTGTCCATTGCATCTCCGCTGATCTCCAATAAGCTTCCGGGGCCCAGCTTTTATGTCCATTGTGGTACATCAGCTTGTGGGGGGCGGGAAGTTAACCCCCCACTCACTGCACTCCATAATGTGTGTTTCTCCCTCTAATTGTTTACCAACATTACAGGGAAATGCACCACGGGCTACCATTTTGGGCTACGGCCCCATGTGGCTTGTAATACAATTCCGCCTGCAGTTTTGCTACTTAATTTTTCCTGGCCTGTTCAACTTACTGAGCAATGGGTTGCAGGAAGAAGAACCGGGCAAGGAGCCAATGAGTGAGGAGTGGAACACCAGGTAAGCCAACAGCAAGGTGATCATGTATGCCAGCCTGTCTTTGAGTGGGATAAGGAAGCCACAGAGATCCGCTACCACAAGTGCCAGGCTTGGCACAATTACAGAGAGGACGATTCGCATTCCTGTGTTTTCTAACTTCACCTAGAAAAGAGGTTGGGATTTGTGGGTGAAAGGAATGAGCATTTGAGCCTTTCAGCATTTCGCAAAACATCGGCATTGGTTGGCAAAGTAGCTGGATAAGTTGTATCAACCTCCCTCTAATAAGTAAATACCAAAAGAAGAACACAAGCTTTGGCACTTTCCACTACTGTCATCTAATGTGGAATTGGCGAAGTCAAGCAACGTTTTAAAAGCCGCTTGCCTAAGTTGGTCATTCACGCCCTTCTGGCCATTAATGTAGAAAGAAGCAAAGTCATCTAAAAGTAGACGTTCGCAAAAAGGTGCACTGAATCTTCTTAAGTGAACATTTTTGTCATTAAAAGCAGACTTCGAGGGCCTTGGAAACCCCCTCCCTGTGAACTTTTTCTAGACCAGGGGTGGGGTACCTGCAACTCACCAGTCGCTGCTCAAATACAAATCCCATCATCCCTGGCTTGGGCTGATGGGAGTTTAAGTCCAACAACACCTGGAGGGCTTCATGCTCTCCATCCCTGATCTAGTCCTACCTTACAAGGTTGCTGTCAGGATTACAAAAAAATGTACACGGAGTGCTCTCAACCCTCTGAAATGCTACAATAAAAACCATGTTGCAGCAGCAAACTAAAGATGCTCCTTAAATCTGGGGTGTGGAACCTGTGTCTCTCCAGGTGTCAGTGGACTAAAAACCCCATCATCTCTGACCACTGATTGGCCTTGCTGTCTGAGGCTGATGGGAGTTGGAGTCCAATAGCATAGGTTCCCTGCTGCAAGTACAGTTCACATTTCCAAGAAGAGCATTCCCTGCAGCTCCTCTCCCAAGTAGTTTGCTCTGTCTCACTTGCCTTCTTTGCTTTCACCAGCAGGGCTGAAGGCACATGGTGTAGGGAGGCCCTGCATTGTGACATTCCCACGCGCCCCAATCAGATGAGAGGGCAAGACCCAGCAAAGAAGCCCCTTGCATGCCTTCTCCGAGTTATAGTCCAATTTCATCTCCTTACCATAACTACAAAGCAAGGCTGTGGCAAATTATTCAGGCTGCTGACTTTCACATCCGTGACAAGGTATTCACGCTTTAAATTCAGAATCTGGTTTTCAATGGAGACGTTGAATTCCAGCTCATTGACTTGAAAGAGTTAAACACACATACACACACACAAGTTCTTTGGATATTCAATGGAAGTATAAGAGAGATTTTAGGAATCCAATCGATCATCTATGCTCCCTTCAGTAGAAGGAGTTGCATCTAAATTGGTAAGAGCCCCAAGGACCATAAAGTCAGGCTACCCCAAGACATGTTCCCCTTAAGGCAAACCTCACGTGGGCATACCCTCCAACATTTCTCTGATGAAAATAGGGACGTCCCATTCCATAATGATAATTTTACTATTTATACCCCACACATCTTATTGGGTTGCCCCAGCACTCTGGCCAGCTTCCAACCAGCATAAAAACGTAATAAAACATAAAACATTTTATTTTAAAAACTTCCCTATACAGTGGTACCTCAGGTTAAGTACTTAATTTGTTCCAGAGGTCCATTCTTAACCTGAAACTGTTCTTAACCTGAAGCACCACTTTAGCTAATGGGGCCTCCCGCTGCTGCCACGCCGCCGGAGCACAATTTCTGTTCTCATCCTGAAGCAAAGTTCTTAATCTGAGGTACTATTTCTGGGTTAGCGGAGTCTGTAAGCTGAAGCGTCTGTAACCTGAAGCGTATGTAACCCGAGGTACCAACTGTACAGGATTGCCTTTAGACAGCTCAGGTGTCAGATAATTCCATGCCCTCCAACATTTCTCCAATGAAAATAGGGGGGGAAGTGGGATATTCCGGGATCAAATCAGAAACCAGGACGGCTTCTCTAAATCAGGGAGCTCCCCGGAAAATAGGGACACTTGGAGGGTTGGCATACGGAACTCTTATTTGACTTGGTAATTGCTGGCACAGGCACATAATGGCTGTGGCAGGTGACGGGCAGGCCACAAGAATGACACAGGAGACTGGTATTGGCTTGAATTAGGCCACAGCTTTATTGATTCCAGGAAAGAGTAGGTTTGGCTAAGGCATTGGGCATGTATCCTGCATCAGGCAGCCTGCCTGCTGCCTGATAGGAACCTGGTGGGGTCAAACTTGTGCTAGGGAATCACCCCCCAACATGGATTGGATGCCACGACTCCACACAGGCAGCCATTAAGAGAGATGTAGTGACCCTTTGGTCCCTCAGTGGACTCCCGGACACAGTCACCCCACCTGAACTGAGCGGGGTGGGGTGGGGCGGGGGACAGACAGGCAACTTGTCCTTTCTCCTCACTGATTCCTTCACTTTTAGTAACTACTTCCTTTCAGGCTTCCTTCCTGCAACTTCTCCTAGCTCAGTCAGAACGGGCATGGGCTTCTGTTGACTTCTTGGCTCCATCTTGTAACAACTATACCTAGAATAGGTTTGTTTGCCATGAGTAATCAACCTTTTTTATTTACCCTTTCAACCAGCAGTCTTGCCAGGCTATTTCCTTCTGCACTACATTTACCAGATTCTGACATTTGCATTGCCCAGCATAAGCAGGCGCCTCACTTACCCGTGTTGGCTAGAGAGGAGAAGCTCAGAGTGCAGCGAGTGCTGTCTCGTGGGTAGTATAAGAGATCAAAGTTGCAGTTGCTGTCAATGCGCAGAGAGAGCGCAAACTCCACTTTCCCATCACTGTGAAGCACTACAGGAGGCGATTCTGTTTTCCATTCCACTTCAAACCTTCAGTAAGCAAAAGGAGCTGTAAGATAAGGGGGACAGCAGAGGAGAGTCCTCAGACCTTCCTTGCTCGCTGTGACATGTTTTGACATGTAGAATGGCATCTACTAGGAACTCGCCCACAAGGTGAGTGTTTGGGTCACCTGGGCAGGTGGATAAGAAAAATGAGCAGGGGTGGTGGTACAGGAAGAGCTGAGTGAAGGGAGGCAACCACTCTCTAGCTCAGCTTCCTATGAAAAGGTCAGCTTTGTGTTACTAGACCAGTTCCTCACTCAAGGTTTAATGTCCTGTTTTCACACATTGTAGTATGAAGATACACAATGCTGTATGAAAATGGGGAGGAATGAAATCCAGAAAAGGAATTTATGCTTAGCTAAAGTTTCCCATCCGCCGGTATGTTACACTCTTCTGTGTTTGTGGAGAATTACTCCTATCAGTTGGTGCATTGGCCAAGAGAGAGACGGTATGGCGCCCTGTCAGATTATTCTGTGTGCAAGGCTGTATAGGTTTCTGCCTTCAAGGAGATGGGTGCTTTACAAAAGGAGGGGACAAATTCATGGCAGGTGGGTACATTTCAAAGGAGCATACCTCTGGGGACCTGATGCCACAGGTTGCAGGTGGGAAGCAATGGGATGGTTGTCATCATCTGGCCCTATATGCAGCATCCCAGGGACTTTGGGTCTGGTACGGTGTCGGATGCTGTTCTCACATTTTCCTATTCCTTTCCACATTCCCTCGTTCAGTGATGAGGACTCTGGGCCCCTCTAGATGTTGCTGGACTCCAGTTCCCAGCATTCCAGAATAGTAGTCGTGCTGGCTGGGGCTGATGGGAGCTGCAGTCCAACCTGGAGGAGGGCTTCAGGGTCCCTACCCCTGTCCTGTGCCTTTTTCAGGGTCAGAGACTAGAGAAACCCTTGGAACATATGTGGTATGGTACATGTGTACATTTTTCAAGGCTACTTACGATTCTTGAACTGTGAGGGAAGGAGTCCACACCGAACCCCAGGGCACAGTGATGGTGGTGAAGGGGAACTCTGTCTCATTCCAGGCCAGCTGTTCAGCATACCATGACTGAGGATTTCAGTGAAAGGAAACGTTAATCTTGACTATATCCTCCTCCCCACTCACCCACCCTTTCAAATCTAAAATCTGCTTCACTCACCAACTGTATCACTTCAGCATCCCATGGACATGATCAAGCTAATTATTTGATCAGGAAGTGTGAGCAGACAATGTGGAGAGTGGAGCCTGCCTTCAGGACCGCTTTATCTCCTATTACCATACTTCCCAGTTCTTTGATAAGAAAGACTAAGCATTACCTGATAAAGCACGAGGACAGATGAGATAGTGTATTGCATGATGTCCTGTTGGATAAAGAATTCAAAGTCAAACACACACAAATACATGCACACACACGTGTGCACACACTGTAAAGTTCATAGAAGAATTTTCAAGAAAACACAGTGCCAAAAAGTCTGCCTTTTTATGTTGGCCAAAAAACTCTGTTGTCACTTCCATATAACAGCTCTAGCTTGGGAGACATCTATACTCAGTTTCATCATCATCATCATCATCATCATCATCATCATTATACTGCCCTATAGGTAAGGTAAAGATAAAGGACCTCTGGATGGATAAGTCCAGTCAAAGATGACTATGGGGTTGTGGCACTCATCTCACTTTCAAGCTGAGGGAGCCGGCATTGGTCCACAGACAGCTTTCTGGGTCATGTGGCCAGCATGACTAAACCACTTCTGGTGCAACAGAACACTGTGACGAAACCAGAGTGCATGGAAACGCCGTTTACCTTCCCACCACAGCAGTACCTATTTATCTACTTGAACTACAAGGTTGGCAGGAGCTGGGACAGAGCAACGGGAGCTCACCCTGTGGCGGGGATTCGAACAGCCAACCTTCTGATCGGCAAGCCCAAGAGGCTCGTGGTTTAGACCACAGCGCCACCCGCATCCCCTTACCCATATACTCTATACCCCTTACCCTATACCCATGGGTCTCGGGGTGCTTTGAACATACATTATTTTGAACATGAACATTATATTAGTATAATCCTTGTTTGCAGACAGAATGTCAATTTGTAAGCGTGGTACAGTCATACCTCAGGTTGAAGTTGCTTTAGGTTGAGCGTTTTTGGGTTGCGCTCCGCGGCACAGAAGTGGCGAATTGCGACCTGCGCATGTGCAGACGCGGGTTGCATTCACTTCAGGATGCGAACGGGGCTCCGGAACAGATCCCGTTCACATCCCGAGGTACCACTGTATAAGCTGTTATACCTACCACATGAAGCACGTTAGACATCTCTATCTTGACATCCACCACAAGGGGGCCGTTTCCATTTCTGGGCATCAGGGATGGGGAATATGTATTCAGCAGTGACTCTAATAACTTCACTTCCAAGGAGTTGATAGAATCTTGCCAAGTCATCTGAGGCAGGGCCGCTAAAAGCAAAATACACAAGTACTCCGTTTCAGAGCCGTTCATATAATACACTCCATCTCAAATCAAACATTGATTCTTTTATGTTGGAAATACGGAGGATATTTGCAGCAAATTATTCCACTCACAACTAGTAGGCAACAGAAGTATTTTGCTCTGCGAGGGCTATTCATATATGTATTTGTAGGATTTCTTTCTTTCTTTCTTTCTTTCTTTCTTTCTTTCTTATCAATTTAATTTTTACAATTAAAACAATTTACAATAATCCAAATACAAAATTCCATGTAGGATTTCTTATTCACGTTTTACCATAATGCCCCAGGGCTGTTTATAACAATGTAGTTATACTGTTATAAAAACAAGTTAAACGTGTGTTGTTGTTTTTAATATGCATTGTAGGAGAGGAATGGCTCGCCAGATGTTGGACTTTGGCTCCCTGAGTCCATGACCACTGACCATGCTGACTGGGGCTGATGGAAACTGGAGTCTAACAAACCCTGAAGCAGGGTTGCCATATTTCAAAAAGTGAAAATCCAGACAGAAGTTGTTCAGCTATTTTTGAGGGAAATTGGCAAAAATGACACTGCCGACATTTAAGCCTATTTCCTCCTGGACACTGCTTTCAACTGTAGTATTCCAGGTATGTCCAGGAAATTCTGGACATATGGCAACTGTACAGTGGTACCTCAGGTTACATATGCTTCAGGTTACATACGTTTCAGGTTACAGACTCCGCTAACCCAGAAATAATGCTTCAGGTTAAGAACTTTGCTTCAAGATAAGAACAGAAATCGTGCTCCGGCGGTGCGGTGGCAGTAGGAGGCCCCATTAGCTAAAGTGGTGCTTCAGGTTAAGAACAGTTTCAGGTAAAGAACAGACCTCCGGAATGAATTAAGTACTTAACCAGAGGTACCACTGTATCTGAAGGGCCATAGGCTCCTCACCCCTCAGAGACTCAGCAGCATATTAGATTAAAAGCTGCAATTGTATGGACATGCAATGGTATGGTCAGGGCTAGCACCAGCCAGCTGCATCATGCTGGAAAAAAAACTATGGGGTTAATACTTTCAAAATGTAGCCTTATTGGAGTTCACCGATTGGGTCTGCGTTGCTCCGGGACAGGAGGAAGGAAGTCAAATGACACCGAGGTTGATTCGAAGAAAGAGTTTATTCTGCTCTCCGGATAGCAGAAGGCACTTGCGTGATCAAGTCCACAGCAAGTCCAAAGAAATGACAAGTTTCATGCAGTATATATATCCTCCAGGCACCCTCTCCCTCCTTCCCATATAAATCCAACCACGTCAGCCTATGTACGCAGGTTGACATCACATATGTTCTTGCTCTGGTATTCTTAACCATAAAAGGGAATTCCTTCCTGTACTTCTGACCATAAAAGGATCTTCCTCTTCCTACTCTTATCTTGGAGGAAGAGGTGTCATCTCCGAGAACACGCTTTTGGCATTGTTCCGGACTTAGGTCTGTGCGTCTTTTGTGGTCAGCACATAAGATAAGGCACGGACGTGTCTTCTCTGTTCTGCTGGTGCAGTCAGGGTCATCCCTGCGGTCACAAACTGATAAAGGAGAGGGCTCTGAGCACAGCCGGGTTTTGTTTATACATTGTCTCAGAGCTCAAGTTAATGGATTTTACCTAAGGAAAAATAGGGATTTTGGTGCAGTTTCAAACTGCCTTCGCAGTCAGTTTTGGGTTTGGGAAACCCATTCCTTCAAAAAAAGAGGAAGACGAGAAATTTTGAGGAAGACATCCCCTGCCCTCTAATCCTTCTTTTCTATCTGACGCCTTGTGTTTAGATGTATTGTGTGCTACACAGAGATGGGTAAGCCTCCATTTCTCCCCATTTTTTGCAATCGTAATTTCAGTTTTCCCCATTTCCCTATCAGTTTGCTTTTTTTTTTTTAAGTCCTCATGAAAATTATCCTAATATACACATTTTTGCAAGCAGTTTCCCCTAATATACATTTTTGTAAGTTATTTTCACTAATAAATGCATTTTCATTTAGACTGTACCCAAATACCTTCATTTTTGTACACATCACCGTATTTTTTGCTCTATAAGACGCACCAGATCATAAGACGCACCTAGTTTTTGGAGGAGGAAAAGAAGAAAAAAAATATTCTGAATCCCAGAGGCCAGAACAGCAAGGGGGATCGCTGCGTAGCGAAAGCAACAATCCCTCTTGCTGTTCTGGCTTCTGGGATAGCTGCGCAGCCTGCATTCGCTCCATAAGATGCAAACACATTTCCCCTTACTTTTTAGGAGGGAAAAAGTGCGTCTTATAGAGCAAAAAATACGGTACTTGCCTAGAGAACTGAACTGCAAAATTCAGAGGAGTACACATTTTGACAAACATTTGAGTTTTGCATTGTGTATTGTTTCGGAAAGCTGAAACGCAAACTGAATCAAATTTCTCCCTCATCCTTAGTGTTACAAAGGAATATGTGCTTTTAAAAATTCAGTTGAACAGGTCCCTCCCTCCCTCTTCTACCCATTGAAAGGGTAAATGATGATTCCCTATATATGTATGAGTTTAGGTGCATATTTGCCATTTCCTCACATTTTATTTTGCTTGCATATAGGAAAAGCTGTTTCCTAGAACATTGCTTTTGCCCTTCTCTGTGGTTTTTTAAAAATAAAGCTTTACCCTCTAACAATCCAAAACTGCTTCTGCATTACATTAGTGGAACCAAGAGCAAGCACCTATCGGTTAGACTATATGGGTTGCATCCAACATTGTAATAAGTGAATGTTCCATCCATCAGAGTAAGGATTTCTGCTTCTCCTCCTCTCCTTCCCCCACCTGCCCCCTAAATCTGTTCTGGGGCTTTCCTCCAATCATCTGAAGCCAATTTGGGGAGGGTGGGCTGTGGAGAGGGGAGAAAGTTCTGCTGTGCTGGTGGGACACAGTAACTGAATACAGTGGTACCTCGGGTTACATACGCTTCAGGTTACAGACTCCGCTAACCCAGAAATAGTACCTCAGGTTAAGAACTTTGCTTCAGGATGAGAACAGAAATTGTGCTCCGGCGGTGTGGCGGCAGCAGGAGGCCCCATTAGCTAAAGTGGTGCTTCAGGTTAAGAACAGTTTCAGGTAAAGAACGGACCTCCAGAACGAATTAAGTACTTAACCAAGGTACCACTGTACTGCCCCAAGTGTATACAGCGTTAAAAAAAAAGGAAGTTCCTCTTACCTAGCACCAAGAGGAAGAGATTCAGGCAGATCCTTGTCACCGTCATCTTTTTTTAAGGTCCTGCAATATGAAAGCATGGCAGCAGGCTCTAATGCAAGGTAAATTCGACACCAATTCATAGCACAGAGACCCAAAACGACCATTTGTCACACACGGTTGGTGGCACAGCTAGAGCATGAAGCTGCCAGTGAAAAGGAGATGGAAATTTCAATTCTGCTAGTTTTGAACTCTGAAGTGGCTTCCAGGTGTGTAGGACTGCCTAACGATACTTTCACGGGTATTCTCACATTACAAAGCACGTAATCTTACAAAAATATGTATCTCTCTCTGTTCTCCACTGAGTGAGGGCTACTTGAGCTTCTCCACTCACGGCTTTCTGGAAGTTATCATCTCTAGATATTGGCTTCTGCCTTATCTTCTCAGGCTATGGGGCAGTCAGACAATACTTATTATTCTGTAACCACATGAACACAGGACAAGAGATTCAACAAAAGCTGCCTTTTGCAAAATCTACATGCCTCTGGACACGCCCCCCCACAGGATAATTTGCAATCAACACGCACTTATTCATCATACCTGCAGAAGATGCCACACTGTTCACATCAGACATGAGGTAAGGGCTGACCTGAGCATCACAGAACCAGTTTTTATATAGGCCATTTACTACGATATCTCTTTTGGAGGATGGATTGTAATGTCAGCCTGCCATGCTTCAATTCATGAACAACAAAGCTCTGCAACCCTCTGGTTTTCTTTCTACCAACAGCTGCCCTTTAGGAGATAATTTCCTGGGCTTTCATTGCATTCCCAGCAACAACAGTCCATTGTGAAACAACACAATGGAAATGTGTGTGTGTGTAGAAGGGTGTAAATTGCCATAAAGAGAAGTATGAATTAGTTCTCTGCATCACTAACCAAACAAAACCAACACCTTGTTTATTATGTGCTTAGATGCTGGTGTGTGTTCTCTTTCATTTCTTTCTGTCTATTGGGGAAATGAAATATAGGGTTTATCTCAGTATTTATTTCCAGCCAATGAAGATTTAAACATGGACTCACTTCTTTGCAAATACCTGCTATTAGAATACATTTTTAAATATTTCACAGAAAGAGGGACAACTCGAATCTGAAGCGACTACGCAATCAAAATAAGTGGTGCGTTATTTTTAAAATTTGTAACCGCTTTTCAAAAGTTCAAAGCTGTGAAATAAATCATACAAGGATAAAAACCACTCTAAAACAAAACAATTACAAGTAAAATAAAATAAAATAAAATGGCACAACGTAAAATCTAGCCACCGATTTGGTTGCTCAAAGCACAGTGTGTTTTGCTAGCCTATTCTACCCCTTACAACAACCTTCTAAGGTAGGCCACTATTACTGTCTCCTTATTGCAGATGCGGGACTGAGGCTGAGAGCTAGCAATCTACTTGAGGGCCCCTACTGAGTTCGTGGCAGAAGTAAGATGCGAAGCAAGGACTTTCCTGATTGCTAAGCCTCTAAAGCATGAATCCCATGCACACACTTCCCTGGGGGTAAGGTCACCGTAGAGCAATTCTGCACCAAACATGCACAGAAGGACTGCTGCCAGCCCCTCAGCCACACTAATTCTGTATGCAGGACAAATCTCTCCAACCCTTGCCTTGTGACAGCCAAACGCAAGCTGGGAGAGAGCATTTTGCAAAGAGTTGGTTCAAACCCGACACTAACAAATGAATGAGCAGCAGGCTAACACTCATGATGCAGAACAAAAGTCAAAGGTGCAGGGTCCTTGTCCCAGACAGCAGGCACAGAGCTGCCAGGAAATAAATAATTGGCAAAGCAATTCTGTTGCGTGAGGCAGAGCTCTGGGAGAAAATGGATTTCTGGGGTTCTTCAAGTCCTCCATTAACCAGCTCTAAACAACTGAAAGCTAAAAGGACTCCTATATACATCCTAAAATCCCATTATACATCTCACTCTCAGGGCACTCACTGTATGCAGCTGCACAAAAATAAAATGATTATCTTTTATGAGACTATTGCCAGTTTGTATAAGAGCAGGCAGGTAAGGGCAGCAATATGATTGCTGCTACTGATGCTGTTTATTTTATTTTCAACCCTCCCCCAAAAGTAGCTATTTTGTTGGGGGGGTTAATATTTTATTTCAACGTTTGCATTATTTTATAATGGTTTAGCAACGCAGCTCCTTTCTAATTCACCCGTTTAATAACACAGTATAATGTCGTCATTATACTTCCTTATTACAAACAAAAAGAGACAACCCTTGTTCAAAACTTTGTCTTTTAAGAAGGTTCAATGGGCAGGTAAACTGTTCCTGAGCCAAGTTGGCATTTCAAACCTTGTTGGAAATATCTGATAAAGAATGGATGGTGAATTCTCTCCCCAGCCCTTTCTTTTGTAGGAGGGAAAGCTGTCTCAGTTGGTTTGTGTTAAGTTGTGGGTGAACATATCAGACGACACAGAGATTCTTCAAACAGCTCTTGTTTATTCACAGGCCAGGACAGAACTGAACTGAAGGGCTCAGTCAGCCTGCTTATATAGAGCTCCAGTACCATGTTACTGTAACAACTTTCTAAGACTATCCAATCACTGAACGTCACTTTCAATCCTTCATTTGCATAACTATCTACAGTATCCCCTGCTGGCCCAGGGTGAGAACTTCAGTACATAACAGTTTGCAACCTGTCAGCCAGAGAGTATGGCTGCAGCTAAAGGCAGTATAGTTTCAGCTCCCCCCATCCTGACCCACTTTGTCCCCTTTCCTCAATCTGCTGTGGGGCAACACAGGAATCTTGCTTGCCCCAGGAAGAGAATATCGCATCACGGCCTTGGCTGTCACTGTTGTGGAGTGCTGAGCCACTTGTGCTTGTGCCTATGAACAATTTAGGAAATGGTCTGTCTCAAGCAGGCATATTCACATCTGCTACTAGTAGGGATAGAAGTTCCTTGAACATTTCCCAAGAAGATAGGCAGGGGTCACCTTGGACATGTTTTAAGCTGGGGGATCTCAAGTCAGTCCAGTATTAAATGAAACATGACATAAAAAGGAATCCCAGTGGTATTGAAAGGACACTGTTCATAGATATGAAGAACTAGAAAGTCGCTGTTCAGGGTGACTCTCCCCACCTGAACTGATCTAAATCTAATGAATGTATCCCACATTCAAAAAAACAGGAGTTGACTCTCAATCTTTAAATCTGGATTACCCCATAAAGTTAACTTGGCATGAGCATATGGGTTGAATTCTGTCATAGAGCTTGTTTTTGCCCCTGGTTTGGATTAAACTAAGGCAGCCTTCTCTGAAATTTCTTTTCATCTGACACATTCATTATTTGCTCAGTCCTTGTTAGCTACTTATTCTCTCTCTGTGATTCACGACACGTCTTTCCCATCCTGCACAATTATTTCGTGTTCTGAGCAGGTAGAGATGGAATAGCTCCCAGACCTGGAGATTGATGGTTTGTTTGGATAGCACCATTTTACCTCTGTTTTTCTCCACAATCCTCTCCCTCCCACCCCACCTCACCCTCTGCAATGATCTGTGAGTGCACACATGCAGGTTCAAGTACCTGGCAGGTCCCCCCCCCTTCTTTTTTTGCTGAAAGGGCTGGGCAGTTCATGTTCCTGGCAGCCCATCTGGCATGAGTCCATTGGCCAAAGAAGGAAAGCTTTTAGCATTTTGTCCAAACAATAGCATTACTGGAATCCTTTCATTTGAGGGGAAATCAATTTCCTTCTGGATGTATGTTTAATTGCGCTTTTTTTGTTTGAAATCAATCAGGACACAGAGACTGTTTAGATTAAGAGCCCAGCCATAACGCTTCAAAATCATACACCCACTTGAGCGCTGCTGGGCTTTTATGCATGAAGCACTAGCAAACAATGTATTGCCGTTCAGAGGAGAAGAAATGTGATGACCTTTTAATTAACACTGTTTATTCCCAGCACAGCAGTGCATAGATACAGGTCAGGTTCAGATTAGTTTTGCCTGTTCGGTAAACTCTTGCAGGAAAAAAAGAACCTGGATCAATAAATGTGCCCCATTTATAGGACACCTCTTGTTCAAAAGCAGCCTCAGCTGTTACAGAATACTGCATACCGTTGTCCTTTTCACCAACAAAACTGTCCTTTCCCACAGAATATTGCGGGGCCACACATCACAACTTTAGAGCAGCCTGACAGTCAACTGTATTTTCACAGCTTGTTGGACCTGCAGTCAACCAATCTTTGACATCTCACCGGAGCTCAATTCCAGAACCTCTCAGGTGGGCATCACTGCCATTCTAAGAGAACAAGGGAGGTGTTCATGGTGAGTTTCCAGCACCTCTTTTTCTAGAAAAATAGCACTGCTTCCCCCCCGCCCGCTCCACCCCTCTCCCCCTTTTCTTCCCAATGTCTAAACAAATGAAACTGATTTGTAAAAATGTTACATGGAAAAAATACGAGAGAGAGACATTACACATACTTCTGTAAATCAAGAAAATCTTTAATACAAATACATTTAAAAAAAGCACTGCTCTTGACTAACCCTGTTCCCTAATAATACTGTCTTCAGATCCAAAACATAATTGAAAGCTTCAATTTGTAAGTTTGTAAGTTAACGCTGCCAGAGTTACTGCTCCTTGAAGCAACACTGTCACCCTCATGGCAGATGGAGATGCCTTGAAACTTACATGTAATAACATTGCATTTACCGTATTTTTCCGTGTATAACACACACCCATGTACAAGACACCCCCTATTTTGGGGTACTAAAATTAAGAAAATTGGGGAAGATTGTCCCCGTACATAAGACTACCCTCCCTTTTTAACATTATTTTTTCGTAAAAAAAAAAAACCCTAGTCTTTTACATGGAAATGTACGGTATTCATTTATCCCACCCTCCCTCTTGATGCAGCCCAGTCACCTTCTAAATCTGGCCTGCGGACGGTCCGGGAATCAGCACGTTTTTACATGAGTAGAATGTATCCTTTTATTTAAAATGCATCTCTGGGTTATTTGTGGGGCCTGCCTGGAGTTTTTACATGAGTAGAATGTGTGCTT